AAAGAACACACAATCGAAAATTCCAGCCTGTTGTTTATGTAGGTTTGTTTTTAAACGGATATTCTTAATTACAGTCTTTCCTGTAATATTTGTGAATCACATAGATGGTTTATCCCTTTAAAGTCGCAACACTTCTATTATAGAATCTCGGCATAGAGGTTAAGACCACAGCCAATCAAAAATACTTTTATTAAATCAATTTTGGTTTTATTTCAAAATGATTCAAATCGATCGATTCTGAACTTAAGGCATTTCCTTTTAAAGTTTCTGTTGTTGTTTTAGACTATACAAACATGTCCATTCTTTAAAATGGTCTGGGAGCCACGGTGGCTAGGTGGTTAAGGCGCTGGCTCGCTAGCCTGGAGTGGGGGTGTTCGATCCCTGCATTGGCCGAGAAAGTTTATCCGATTTTCCGACGTGGTTTCCCCTTGTCAGTGGTGCAGAACGGAGGGCCTGACAAGAACAGCTGTCTAGTCCTTCGGATGAGACGAAAAACCGAGGTCCCGTGTATACATTGGAATACACGTAAAAGATCCCTTGGCAGTTGGAATTCGATATAAGAGTAGGCGATAGTGCCGCTGCCCGGGCAAAATTTTCCTCATCGCACACTGTATGGCGTATGCCCGTCTTCATTAGCCCAGTATAGGAGCAGAACAGTAGGACGTTAAACCCAATTTCATTTCATTTCATTTATACTCATATCTGTTAAATTACATGATAATAACAGTCTTTACCTTAAAAAAATAATATTTGAGACTTTTAAAATATATGCGCATGATCTAACTTGTCGTGACTTTGATAATAACAGCCTTTAACGCCTGGTTATCTTTGATGCTCTGACTTTTTGCGGGATTATCAAAATAAGAAGGATTACTGACATGTAATTATTTTACTTTGATGGCCAGACAAACTGTTGTTCTCTTTTAGTTTAAGATTATAATAATGTACTAGTCTAGCTAACGTTTTGTGTGATACAGTACTGAGAGGTAAGACGTGGAATATCTTTTTTTAATTTGCAGACATTTTTTACGATGGTGATTCAGGATAGAAATTGTTAAATGTGGATATTTTTTGTTCATACTAGATATTTGTTTAGGGGTATATGTATAAACTACGTGTACAATTTGATGTACTTTCCATTTACACATCCAGGTGTCGTGCGCGATACTTAGGCGTGCTTACGGAACACCCCATACCACCCACCCCCATTAACACGTAATTTCTTGTGGTAAATTGACGAAACTATTGGTTTAGTTTACTCTGATGTTTGTCAGAATATACCATGTAATGCATGAGAAAAATATATACTTTGTCCTAGTCGTATGTTATTTTTGATGTCCACAACAACTAAGCGAAACAAGATCTGTTTTGGTTGACAACCCACGCTGCATTAAGATCTAATTATACATCTTTATCAATTTTATGTTATCTTTGAAGTTTAAAGTAGCTAAGTCTCTAACTCAATATCGTCCAAAATCTTCGACATTGAAAACACGAATTATTTGTCACTTTAAATCAACATTGATGTTGTGATCTTACGGGGAAAAGATGGGCTTCTGATATCCAATATTTAAGACAAAATAAACATTTTACCATTGGTACACAAATCGTGTACCATAATGCGTTTCAGCGTCATTTGTAACAAGGGACTAGAAGAACGAAGCTAGACATAATCCACAAGTCACGTCAAACGGTGACGGCATATTCTTATCTGGGGAGCATGCACAATAGATACTATCGGTGTAGACTGGAATAAGCAGGCGCTAGAGGTTGCCATTCGATTGAGACTTCTGGCGTATTTCGCCGAACATAACTGATTTGAAGTTAGAGTAAAAAGGGAAACGATTGGATGTAAATCAGTTTATATACATTCATATTACATTATTTTATGCGTTGCGAACAATTTGTATCAATTTCTAGGTCCCAAATATTAGCGACTTAGCTCCTTTAATAGCACCCGCTAAAATAAGATCTTTGTTTTAATCATATTGGAAGTAATGCTTTATTCTCGGAACCTTCAACTAAAATATTTTGAGGATTCGGAATTTTCATTTGCGGAAAGTTGAAATCATAGAACAGATTTTATTGCTTTCGGGTACCTTAATTTAAAGATGGGGGGTTGGATGGCTGAATGGTTAGCGTGCGCGCGCTGTATCATAAAGTATGTCATAGAGTCGACTGGCGTGGTTTCGAATCCCCGGTTGTACGTGACAAGGAGTAGGGTCGCCTGTCCAACCTCGTGGGTTTTCTCCGGGTCCTCCGGTTTCCTCCCACTGCTAAAGACCCCTACGCGCAAGCGAATTATTAAAATAAAATTAAAAACCATATGTTAGTCCCGAAATGACCTAGTTTGTGTCGAGTGGACGTTAAACCCCATTTCTCTCTCTCTCTCTAATTTAAAGATGCATTATTCAAGAGCTAAATCTGCCTAATGCAGATCTTTCGTTTGGCCTCAAATGTTATATAAATTATTAGTTAGACATTTACATACCTGGCTCATAATCAACTCTCTTTAACTTCGGACGGTTTTGAGTTTAAACATATTTAATTACGAATGGTAGTTAATGATTTAATTTAAAAATGGATAATCGAGACTTTGTTTATTATCGTAACAACTTCGCTTCGCTTAGAATGAAATAATTTGAGTGGAATTTTCAACATATTCCCTTTTCATTATCTATGTTTTTGACTATTATAGCGAGAACTGTCAACTGTTTATCTAAATCTTACATTGATTTTAACAATATTTTATTCAAATAAGATGGATATTGTATACATACACTGTCAAAGGGTATAAGGGTTCAAAAACAAGTCAAAGGCTTATATTAATATTAAATCTTACATTAATGTATCTGTAAGTATACGCGATTAAGGTGCCAGATTATTATCCCGGTAAACGTGTAATAGACCATATTATGCTTTTAATTAATGCTAGATATTAAGATTCTGATAACAATAAAAGCGAAGCCGTGTTTCGCAATAAACGGGAGAACGTAATGAAGTCTCACAATAACGAATACTTAATGTTGTTTATGATGACCACAATACTTGTAACATGAACACATTAATTATCTGTGTATAAACTTGTCTTAATAACCGGATTATCTCTATTTGTCTAACCTTGGAAGATTACTAATATACTGGACTTTAAAGTAAATTAATTCTAGATTTATAAAAACAAAGACCAAAATGAAAGTATTCTTACATGTAATGGACGTATGTTTGTAGTATATTTACATTAAATTACTAATACACGAATTTTTCCCCGAATTCACAGTCGTAAAAATATTCCTAGCACCCGTTGGAAACATTCGTTGCGCATGCCGATTGAACCTGGATAACCTATAAGTTTGGTCACCCTACGGATGTCTTCGAACCGTGTGACGATGCTCGATTCACAGTCCGGAACGTCCCAAATTGACAGAATTGCAATCGAGTGACGCGGAATTCAGTCCTGTCACAGTTCTGTCAGTCCCGATGACGGAGGTGGTGTGAGTAGAATTGTGACGTAATTAAACACGACGAACAGGTTTCGGCTGCATGGTTGGATGAGATACTTATATATCCAGTCGACGCATGCGTTGTAGCCCGAAGTACCCATTTTCACTCGATTGTCAATATTTTTGGGATTGAGAGAATTCAATTCCGGAACGTTCAATCGAGTACGCCCATTTTCAATGAACACGTGATAGCAAAGACAATAGTGCGATCAACTGAAGACGGCGAAGAAGATAAATTAACGACAGACTTGACCTATTCAAAATGCCTACGCATGTTAAATGAAATAAAAAGTATTGCAATAAAATTTTGAATGTACAGAAAGGTTTATCATTTTTAAAGGGAATAGCATTCTGATGATTCGAAGTTCTATTTTCGAAGCTACATTATAATAATACTTCCGGTTTTCGAAGTTACAATTTTTCCGGTTTTGAGAAAACTGGGTATTCCGATACTCTGCGTAATCCGACATATTGTAACGACCCCGTACGATGTCGGATGTGACAGAGTGCACTGTATATTCTCTGTATAGACACTGAACATGATTTAAAAGAATCATGTTCAAGTATTCATAATATGTAATTTAATATATAGCGATATTAAACAGCGTTTTATTGTTCCATTCCAGGGTATAAAAAAGCTGTTTCGGACGTAAAATATTATTTCTAATAGATACTATTTTAACTACGATGAAGTGCAATTTACGCTAAGATCACTGTGATGGTCGCATACGAATATTGATCATAACCCTTTCATTCTTAATCAATATTAGTATTTTATAATATGAAAAAAGAACACTCGTGTAGGATTAGTTAGGAAGAATACCCATTATCTTATTGAGATAAAAAAAAAGCACAGAACAATACCTTAAAAACTATCCTCTTGAGGAACAGTTCCTGATTGTGTTGGCATCGTCTATTGTTTTATTTCCACACCCTACGTTTCATACTTTACCAATATCTTATTAAGATACAGAACAAGAACTAAACAGCTACACTATATTGTGCTCTTGAAGTATATATTATCATGGAATTGTCACAACTTATAGTTCTAATGTATAGTCTGTTTATATACATTTTAAAGATAATGACCAACAATTATAGTTGATAGAATGCTATTTTTCACGTGAGGTATATGGACGATGCATAAAGAGACGGACACGGTCGTTCTAATCAACCTGAAGTGATTCGCCTTTGCCTTATCATCTAAAGCGCTTAACTCCACTGCCCCCCCCCCCCCTCCACTCTACTCGTGTAATGAAGTACGTCAGAATATTTCCCGAGACAACGTTCTGAAAAAGGAAATGGTTACACACATACATAATTTTAATCTTGTGTATGTTCTTGGCCGGTACCTAAAGTTCAGTCAATTCGAGTATGATCGACATGAACCATTACATCAAAAGCTCAGATATGAAAAGTGTGCTTTGTTCTTTTACGATTCCTTTGACTAAGTGCAATGTCTCTGTTACTAAAGTTAATGTTTGTTTTTTTTTTAAACAGTTTCAGGTACCAGTATGAAGACCAATATGAACATTATCTTTTTATTCATCGCTATTACAAGGTAAGAACATAAAACTAATCATAATTGTTGTCAGTGAAAGGAAACTGGAGAGCCTAGCTAAACACTACGTCATAGGGATAGAATTCGTGTCTTGCATAGATGAAAGACTTTCTAATCAACTAATGAAGATGGAATTAACGGAACACCTTGTCAATATAATGTATATCAACTTACTCGTATGGTAGAAGACTCTTCTTATGATTCATATAGGAATGATTTATCCACCTTTTGTGGCAACAATGAAACTAATTTGTTTAATAATTTAGAAACAGAGTACATTTACCATAGATTTTGAAATATTGGGGGTCATTAATTCAATTTGAAACAAAAACGTTAGGAGCGACGGATCTAACTGATAACCTATTATTTCTTTACTGTAAAAAAAACAGCAAAACAATTTAAGCTATGTATTTATTTACCTAATGTCATTCCATCTGTTGAATAAAACTTCCCCTATGATGGTGATTCAACTTTGTGTATAATCATATCCTTTCTTGTATTTTTATTTTCAATTTTCGTGGGGTATTGTGAATTTCACTTGAGGAACCGTTCAATGCGAAGAAATTAGTTCTATCTAAGATAGTTTACTTTGTCCATAATGGCACTACTTTATGTAATATTAACTAAGTTTGGGCAAAATACATGTCTTGAAATGGCTCGGATTTCTAGTAAAACGTCGATCGTTTCATCTGATGTCTTCAGTTGTCCACAGATCATAATTGCTGATTATATTTCTCCCCACACCGGAAACACCAGTAAACTGTCTGATTGATTAGAGGCAGGTTGTTTATTCTGCAATCTAAATGATTAGTAAATTTGTTTAATGATTGTGTTCTGGCCCAGTTCATCAACATGTTCACTTACACTTTATATTCCATTTGTTGTAGACGATTTGTCATTATCTTACATATCTTGATTAGCATCAAATCTTACAATCAGACATTATTAGACTACCGTTAACTTGTACTGAGTAACCGTTCCACAATGTGGATTATATTACTGTAGCCTAGTTCATATATTTTGCAAGATTTAATTTTCTAATTGTGTCGGAGAATCTTAAAATATTTAGTCTAAATAAACATAAAAGACATTCGCATAATGATATCCTCTAAGCACAGTCAAGGTGGATAAATGTTTGGAAATTCCATGCTATGTGCGAGTTAGGCAATTGATATTAGAAATCCTGTAAAATCCGTAACGTTAATTTTACCTTTCATATATTTCCACGCATATTAATTTTAAGATAAATAGTACCTTTTATTCAAAAATACTTGCACGGGTAGTTAGATAAGTCTAGTTAAAATGTAAAAGTGTTGTGCTGTACGCCATTGAAAGTGTAGTGTAAACATCATAGCATATTTTAACGATACAAAATTCTAAACTTTTTGACATATTTATTAGTTATTTATTTCCGGAATGTCCCCAGGTTTCGTATATATAATTATAAAAAACATTCCTTGAAGCAAAAACAATTTCTCCTTAAAGCTAAAAAGAGAAAGAAATATGTGCGATTCTCTTTGTGCTTGATACTACAACCGACATTTGTACTTGTTCGAATCAATGTGTTGTATAAAACAATAGAAGAAAAGATTAATGCCAGTCTTAGAAAATAAACCCTCCACCATTAAATTCTCAACATTGATTTTACTTTCATCCCCATCCTGATTACTTTTATGGGCGAGATGAACAAACTTTAAAGGACATCTGCCATTATGAATAGTTAGAACAAAGATAATCTTTATGGGAGGGTTAGAAAGAATTTAACATAAGTCGCAAAGCTTTCTGGTATTACTGTGTCCTTTATTGTTCATTCGTTTTATTTCATTCCAAAGTAATTACTAGCACTTTGAATGATTCCTTCCTTAATTCTTCATTACAATCCTCGTCGTGAAAACCATGGTGACATCTAAGCTAGTTTTCGTCTCGTATCATTCTGATATTAACATCTGTCGATGTAGTATTCGTCTTTTGTTAGATCATGGCCCAGCCAATAATAGCGTATGTTCATCGGTCTGGGTTAGAGTAAAAGTAACAACTAAATTAGTGCCGTTTCTGGGGATTTCCGATCATCCGTTCAGTTTTAAAGTCCCTTACTGATACAGTAACCCATTTCATATAAAGACAGCAGGATATTTGAGTAATTTGGAAATATCATTTGTATATCTCTACGTAATTTCGGAAAAGTTCGTCAGCTGAAAAACACAGTTACTCGGATGCTGGGTGGCATTTTGTTTTAATCTTAAATATCACTGAGAAAAATAAAAGTTATGTAATGCACTGAAAAGAAAGAGCCAAGATTGGCTATTGCTGGAATATTATTTACAGCATTATATCGCAAATTTCATAGCTAAGAAACTTTGTAATAAATCAATGTAATTTTTCCAATGCGGCGATTTGCATCTCATATTCGTCATATTTTGTCTACAAGATCAGTGCGTTTTAAACAACATTTACGTGTGATCAAACGGCCCAATCGAAAGTTTGTATGTCGGTCAAAAATTACCACAGAGCTTTAGACTGTACGGGACAACGGATAATTAATTAATAATGTCTTATTTGTTTTACTAAAATATATCTGGGTCTTATTCTTTAAGTCTATATTACTATTATCAGTGTTAAGGTATCAGTTCACGTCAATCTGATTAAAACACAGATCCTATTTCGTTTCGTTTTTTATAGTTCAAAATTTCGTTTTACTTGTCTTTACTACACTAGGATATGACAAAGTTGTTTCGGTTGAAGTGAGGGATTAGCCAATGAAACAATCTGTTACGGTGAGCTCTTGACTTAGAAACATCAACGCTGATTGATTAATCAGTATCTGACGCGTTCTTCCAGTAAAACCGGCCAGATCTTCATGTAGTGTAGGCTATCGAAAGTATAAAAAACGAAACGAAATATAGATCTGTATATATTAATCAGATTGAGTTCATGTAGGCTGGTCACAGACTTAAGTGTAAAAGTTTCATATCTACTCCAATGAATTCTACACAGAAATCGATGACGTTTTGAGGCAAAACAGTAGACATACGCTACCTGTAATTACTAATGACATCAATAAAAGTAATCAGAAATAATCGGATTTCCTCTGGAATTAGAACGCCTAATTAGCCCTGGACGTATCGCGTGTACCCTTGTTGAAAGGTCACATTGAACCAGCTTCTGTACTGTTAGTATTATCTGTTCCTGGAATATTTGAAGATATTGACAAGGGGTCGGTGGACACGGGGGTGCATTTATTAAAGTACATTGTGTTTACAATGATACATAAAATCAATTGGGAGCTCAGTCACTAAGCCGGATGTTCATTAATCATACGGCCCCGGGTTCCATCCCGGTGTTGGCTGAGATCTTTGTGTTCCTCACGATTGTCCAGTCGGATTTCTCGTAGTCAGTGTATAACAGGATGAATGACCTGACAAGGAAAGTGACCAGTTTTTCAGATGGGGTGACAAACAGAGGCTCCGTGCATACTGTTGACAGCACATTAAAGATCCCATGATAGTAGACCGTAGCGTCATGGTCCGGACGACATTTTTCTCATGGTATATGGTATACCGCCCGGTGGTCGATGCCGAAAAGTAGGCCGTTAAACCCCACTTCATTTACATTATTAAATTGAGAGATTATTGGTCGAACGGGAAGAAAACACTGGCAATGGGAGGGTAGGCGGCATTGGGGGTGAATCCCTTTGAGCAGGTCTGACTCCCCAGCTATGTGTCTGTTATCTGTTAGGCACAATTACGACGACTGTGATGTGCAGATGCTATAACAGGTTGTATTTATTGTTTCTGTTAATAAAACTATTGGACCTATGATGCACATTATACTGTTTCCCTGTATAAAAAGAAATTCCAGTTCCACCACTGAGTGAAGAGCGTATTAAGTACGACTCAATATGCTACATTATTGCGTCAATTAAGGAAGATTAAGTGCTTCATTATCAGGTATTTATAAGGTGCTTAGTTACAGATCAAATTACTTGTGAAAACCTTAATAATTTCATAATAAAGAGAAGAGCTTTACGCTACGTGACAAAATACTATAATTTATTTGCCTTTCTTTCCTGTTCTGCGTCGATGAAACTTTGTATTTAATATGATGGAAAGTTGACGATTAGCTAAAGATGTATTCCATTGAGATTTGAAATGCCAATTAAATAACCATTGATTAGAGATTATATACAAAATACCCGGGGAAATATATTTAGTGTGCTAAACACTCAACTTTACGACATTTTTGTGGGGATGTAATCTTTTTATTGGACGCTACTACGGCTAATGTGTTTCTTACACAAGTTGGAATCGACGAGTGACATTTTTGCACGTGCGAATTACGAGCTGATTTTAAATGGTATTTTCCTGCCGTAATAAAATCCAGCACATTTGCTACCTACAAACTAGCAGTTTATTCATCAACAGGAAATCTCGTGTCGCCGGCATTCTCCTGCTGCGAGTATGTTCCATTCTGACTTCATCGCGGAATTTTCAGCAAGCTAGGTGATGCGTACGAATTGATACAAAAGATCCTTTGGCAGTTGAAATTCGAAGAACAGTACCGAACAACCCCGATTTCACACGTAATAGACATAAAAAGAAACCCACTGGAGTGTCGACGAGACATTTACACGCCATCCCATTCCTTAATTGTTTTTTTATTTAAATATCGTGCGAGCATGCCAAATGTTTTGAAATATAATTGGTAGGAATCATTTGGCGTTCATAATTAATATAATACGAATTCACTTTGCGGATTTCTTATGTGACAAGCTTTTATGAAACCGCGAACATCAATTACGGTTTTGCATTATGTTAAAACCAATCATGCTTTTTAATATAGATCTGATTTATTGTGGTGCTTGTTTACAACTAATGTCATCGTCCTGCTGGTCTTTAATACATTGATTTTTTTGTAGTAATGGATTGAATATGTGATTATTCATAATAATATGCCATTCATGTGTATTAGCCACCGGGGTTTATTTGTCTGTTTTGTTTGTCAATTAGATTTTCTGCTTGTTGGAATTAAAACGCATTGTCTTCTTAAATCCGACCTTCATTTGTTACTTAAAGGAGCTAAACCGGTAACTCAATATTTTCCATAAAATTCGAAATTAAAAACAGAAATTAAAATTAAATTCCATAATGGTCCATTTCAATTAATATTGACGTTCTTGCCGTGAATATATGGGATTCTAATATCCAATATTTAAGATATATTTATATGGACATGTTGAAATCAGTACATGAGTCATGTATTCTACGGTTTCGCGTGTCATTTTTAATGAACAAAGAAAAGTATATCCTATAAGACAATCCAGAAGTAATTAATAATGGCTGATTCACAAATGATAAAATCATAATAAAAAAAAAACCCGGATTAATCAGGTGTAAACGACTTTATCGGAAATGTCCATCATTATTAACCCGGTTTGTGCAGAAAGGTAGACCATTAAACCCTAATTCTATGTACATTATTATAAATTCGAACAGAAATAACTGGAGTTGAACGTCTCACCAACACCCACATGTCTGCCGGAATATTTATACATAAATAAACTATTCAAAAGTGTCTGATATTAACCAGTCAAGAAAAAATTATTTTATTCCAAACAGTTATAACTCAGTGTTTTCAAGATCTAAAATTTTTGTCCTTTAAAAAGGCTTTATTGCTTTGGGGATCTTCGTCATTTTTTTTTATTTGATCACCAGAATCTAATGACAATTTAGTTGAATAGAATGAATTAATATGTAACATGAACAATTCAAATTGTGCTTGGTCTAGTGTGAGTCACTCGATCCAGTGATACTTGAATCATTTGTTGCCAATGGGAATGGGGCTTTAGGTCGAACAACATACTTGAATGATTCGAACCAAATCACTGTTAAACCGACTGATATTGTCTTTCGATCTAATGACATTTATTTTGTCGTCTTCTTTATAATCTCTCCTGGAATTCGCCAATCGTTGTTTGAAGTGATCAAATCGTCTAATACGTCGCTAAGTGATGATCAAATGGAATGTACCTGTTTTTACGTGTAACAGTCGCCGAACGAGTAAATTACTTTCCGATAAACGCCGAATTTCATTCGATTGATGTCAAAGTGAATCTTGCTTTACTATACGAACTTAGTTTGGTATTAACATCAACAAAAGTTTTATATCAATTTATGGGGTAAAATATGTTCGAGCTTTTAAAAAAGATAATTAAATTACGAAAACTCCCTCACATCATTATTAGATTTATCTAGTCTCGAAAATTTCACCGAGAATACTAATTGTATATAAAACATGTTAGCATGTGTCTGTGGTTTAATTTATTTGGTTTATGACCTATTAACCCGCTTTATTTTAAATTCTTAGAATTATTATTAAAAAATTCCACCGTCATATCTAGTATCTGATAATGAGTTTAAATATTCACAGCTCCAACCAGGAAATGTAAAGAAATGAAATGGGTTTACCGTCCTCCTTTTCTGCACCAACCGGATTTACTTCCTGCTTTATGCTTTGGGGTAACGTTTGTCCGGACAGCGGCGTTTTGGTCAACTCTTCGTCTAATTACATCTGCCAAGGCTTCTTTTACGTGCATGCCAACCTGACACGGGACCTGTGTTTTCGTAACTTCCGAACAACTAGATGGTGTTTCCTGCCACACCCTCCGTCCTGTAACACAGGCAAGCGAAAATCAGCTGACAAATCTCGGGGTACTTTATCGGCCATCACCAAGTTCTAACACAGGAACTCTTGGTTAGTCAACTAGCGCGCTACAGACTGAACCACCGTACATTCCTACCCCTTCTCCGCTCCCACATCCAATTAACTTTGATATTGAAAATAATGCATATCTTAAACTAAATACATAGAAAAACAAACAATATAATTTGGGTTGATCAATGCATATATTCTTTTAACACTAATGCATAAAATTTGAGGCAGTTTCATTACCTTGCTGGTGATCACGCTTGTCCAAAAATATCGCGTAAAGAATTTAAGAGATTTGATCTGCCCCTACAGAAATAGGGTAATCTAATCCTGATCAACTTTAGCTCTGGTTGAATATTTGATATTTTTGATGGTTAAAAATAGAATTAATAATAATGTCCCTGGGTCAGGTTTATTTTTGACCAGTCTTGAAAATCATTTTTTTAATTTGTATGCAGTGTAACCTTCTATATTCAAATTTCGTACATAATTAGCAGTATTGTGTAGAGGAACTAAACTCATCACATATTCCTGCATTAAAAGTTATGATATGTTTTAGGCCCGCGACCGTTGCTGCCCTGCTATAATGATAAAATGGTGTTTTAGTATAATAAACACATTAGCTCATAATTGCTATCAAGAGTGGCAATAGTTAATAATAACTATTATTCTAGAAGGTACAACTTTGGAAATATATGATTTTTTACTAATCATTTTGTTGTTATGTGTATGATTTCCTACCTTTCACAAGCAGCGAGGAAAGGCGCACGTGACAATAACGCCATTATTTACTAGGAAACTTTCTTGATAGCCCAGCGTTTATCTATATTCGCCATTAGAAAGGTGTTGAAGGAAAAAAAGATTCGAAATCATTCTAAAGCTGATTCTAACACAAATATATTTTATATCTTTACAGATTTCCTGATTCAAAAGCCGGTAACACTAAACTATCGGAAGATAACCCCACTGAACAAGAAGAATGGCTAAAACATCCTTACGAAGACCGGTTCGGTGGTTTTAAAGAAAATGATGAACTACGTTCTGGGGACAAGCAGCATGTGGATTCTACAGGAAGTGATTTATTTGATGAACACGATGGCGAGAAGCGTCACATGGATTCTATTGCAAGTGACTTATTTAAGCGCCAAGAAGCCGATAAACGTCACATGGATTCTATAGCAAGTGACCTATTTAAACGCCAAGAAGCTGAAAAGCGCCACATGGATTCAATTGCCAGTGATCTGTTTAAGCGCCAGGGCACTGGTGCCGAAAAACGTCACATGGATTCTATAGCCAGTGATCTATTTAAGCGACAAGATGGCGAGAAACGTCACATGGATTCGATTGCCAGTGATTTATTTAAGCGCCAGGGTGGCGAAAAACGGCATATGGATTCGATTGCAAGTGATTTATTTAAACGTCAGGACGATCAAAAGCGTCACATGGATTCGATTGCAAGTGATCTGTTTAAACGTCAAAATAATCAGATTGAATCCATTTCGAGCGAGCATCACGATTCTGAAAAACGTCACATGGATTCTATTGCAAGTGATTTATTTAAGCGCCAAGATGGTGAAAAGCGTCATATGGATTCAATTGCAAGCGATCTGTTTAAACGCCAAAATAATCAAATTGAATCCATTTCGAGCGAGCATCACGAAGCTGAAAAACGTCACATGGATTCTATTGCAAGTGATTTATTTAAGCGTCAAGATGGTGAAAAGCGTCATATGGATTCTATTGCAAGTGATTTATTTAAGCGCCAGGGTGGTGAAAAGCGCCATATGGATTCTATTGCGAGTGATCTGTTTAAGCGACAAGATGGTGAAAAACGTCACATGGATTCGATAGCAAGTGATCTGTTTAAGCGTCAAGATGGTGAAAAGCGTCACATGGATTCGATAGCGAGTGATTTATTTAAGCGACAAGATGGTGAAAAACGTCACATGGATTCAATAGCGAGCGATCTATTTAAGCGTCAAGACATTAAGAGGCGCCATATGGACTCAATAGCCAGTGATCTTTTTAAGAGACAAGATTATGATAAGCGCCATCTTGATTCAATTGCAGGAGACCTTTTTGCAAAACGTCATATGGATTCTATTGCCAGCGACCTATTTAAGCGCGATCGGTCATCAAAGCGACATTTAGATTCTATCGCCGGAGATTTATTCGCAAAACGACCAATGGATTCCATAGCAAATGATCTGTTCAAGAGAAGTGATGTTGAATTGGTTCAAAAAAGCTCAATGGATCCAATTGCCGATGAACTGCTAAATAGATTAAACGGAAATAAACGACATTTAGAATCTATTGCTAGTGATCTTATTAGAAAACGTCATTTGGACTCGCTGGCTAGTGATCTTTTTAAGAAAAGGCAGTTTGACCACATCACCGGAAGTCTGTTTACTAAAAGACATCTTGACAATATCGCGGGTGAAATTTTCAAAAGAGCAAACATGAAGACCATGAAGGACGCGCAAGCTATTGACAACAACAGCTCAGTGGAACCAAGAATGCGCCGAAGACGTTCTCTGTACAATTCGTCACGCTACCGAAGAAACGAAAGATTTAGTAACTGGAACAACTACAGGAACAACTATGGTTTCGGTCACAAGAGATACATTGACAACATTGCGAACAGCCTCTTGAAGCGATCATCACCAACACCATACCAAGAAAATATTTATAAACATTTGATCCAACGGCGATTCGTAGATTCTATTGCAAACCATCTTCTTATCCGATAACATGAATGGTGATCCAAGTCTCGGAGACATATTATTTTTTATAAAATAAAATACACACTCGTGTCAGCTGAACCAGTCTCGAAAAATTCGAAGAAATGTGCAAACTATAAGGAAATGATTTTTTCTACTTTCTATTTTCAAGCCTGAATAACGTTCTTTTGGATATTTAACTCTATTTTTTCAATAAAAAATTACTATGAACGCTTTGTTGAAACTATATAGAATAAATATTAGCGATAAATTGTTTATATTACATAAAATCTTATAAATTAATACGCCATTGATCATTTAAAAATTGAGAACATTTAACTTTCCATTTATGGACTTATAACGTCATGTCTAGATTATTTACAAAGTGGGATGTATTTTACGGACGTGACCATTTTGTACATTATCTAAAACTACAGAAACATTACTTACTTGGTAATTTATTCCCTTGTTTAATTATATTTAAGTGAAATTTTGGTTAATTTTGTGCCATACTCGTTTAATTATGATTATTATTTTGATGTAAATATTGTATTTGTTTTCGTTTGTTATAGAATTGAGACTTTCGAACAGGTGGGCAGATCGCTTCAAGTTACAGGCCAAACATTGCTTTAACTGACTGACAAACAGCTCCGATGAAAACTTGTTGAAGCTTTCAGCCCCTGTTTGATTGGAAATATTCGAGTGTTTAAGATCAATAATTAAAAGGACATTAATATGCGTCAGGCGTGAGAACACCATTTTAGAATTTAATGTTTTACTGCCATACTTGATACTGTTTCGTACAACTCTTCTAGTCTTTTTCTCATTAACTATTTTTTGTAGAAAATGACAAAGTCGGTTCTACTGATATAAGATTATGAATTAAATGCTGAAGTCAATAAGCCGTGATCTGCTTCAGTCTACCTACCTTTAATCAATTATCTCCCTTTGTCTACAAAGCTGGACGTCAAAGAAATCTCCAGAATCAAATGCTGAGTATTGCTGAGCTCCTACATCAGCTAAAATAACACTTCAATGATGGTTGTCGATGTATAATGCTCCAAATATCATAATAACAATTGAATGTACTTTCAGTTATATAAAACTTTATTGATATTTTATTGATTTATTGTTTATTTGAACGCAATAAATGTTGAATTTGAACGTGTAACATTGTTATTATTTTTTAAATAAATATGAGGTTCAGGAGATGCTAAAGATTTGTGGCGTGCAGAGGTTTGGAGATGTCCGGGGAAAACTACTCGATAACATGCTTACAGGACTCAAGTATCGTGGGGTGGGGTGTGGATGGCAGAATGGTTAGCACGTGTGCGCTGTATCATAAAGGCTGTCATTGAGTCAACTGGCGTAGTTTCGAATCCCCGGTTGTATGTGACAAGGAGTAGGGTCGCCTGCGCGCAAGCATATTATTGAAATAAAATTAAACCATATGTTAGTCCCGAAATGACCCAGTTTGTGTCGAGTGGACGTTAAACCCCGTCTCTCTCTCTCTCTCTCTCTCGGGAACAGTATACTGAGAAATGTGAGAAAGGGAGACATTTTAAATATATAAAAACGGATGAAATGAACCTTTTTATTCACATTCAGTAGGTCAGCTTTAAAATTTAAAGAAAAAGTATGTTTACTTTCATTCTTTGATTGCACCCTCACCCCAGCCCCGAAATGCTAATATTTGGTCAATTCTCAATGTTGTCGTTATGAACATTCACCACGTGCACGAAAAGCTTTATTTCCATTCCGTCAAAATGAAATTCGAAATAGAAGCTACACCATATGAATACAATGTGTAATCGTGAACCCCGGGATGACATTACCAACACTCTAAGATGATACAAAGACCAGATTCGAATTGTGCCACAATCAACTCATCCGAGATATTTAGGATATAAACATGCATTTAAAGTTTCATTAAAATCAGATAAATATTGTGACCACTAGAAAGGTCCACAAAAATATGAACGGATGTCCGGGCGGAAGGACATGTACGACGAAATAATACGTCCATATTAACTAGGAGTCACTTGGCAACCTTAAGGTCTGAAAAGGCATACCGTTGAATCAATTAATAAGTCACACCTTCGTGGTTTAATGGGTTTCCCTATGATGTGTGATTTCAGAAGGACATATTGATTTGACGTGATATGACTAATAGAATTTAAACTGTATGAAAAACGTACGAAACCGTCGCTGAAATATAGACGTTTTAACTGTCCGTTTATGACTGTCTAACTGTAATTTCGCCAGTATTTGTTATGTTCGATACATGGGGGAATCCAGTAGACGTGGTACAAGGGTTAATCAGCGAACTGGATGTATGAGATGTGTTGTTGACGTTTGGGAAAGTAGGACGAGGGGAAATGTGTAGGGAGTGAAGTGCTGTAAAGGGATAGTTAGATGTATTATGAATGGTTAGAGTGGCTGTGGTGTTACGGTGAAATACTATGCCGCCACCGTAACACCACAGCTTTATGATTTGTTAGACAGGAGTGATGTAATGGGTGTCAACAACTGGGTATGCTGGTACCGTCGCAACGTAGCCGTGAAATATATATTGTGGGGGGGGGGAGGGAGGAAACGGAAAAATATACAATGTTGACAGTATGTGCCAGGCATGAGGCTGCGCAGACCGAGCGGCAGCTCGATAGGGAGTGTGTGGGAGGGTCACCCTCATAAATTTTTTTTTTTTTTAAATTTCAGTTTTCTGTAAGCAGTGAAAACACTATTTTGGCATTGTTTGCGGGGTTAAACCTAAAAATCACATTAATACACCTATTGCACGATATTGTGAAACTAGCTGACGAAGACAGTTCGGGCGGCGATTGTTCGACTCGGGGCTGCTCTGTCAGTATCTAACAAACGCATTTAGTTCGCGTACAACTTTTAAAAACCGAATGTCAGTATGGTATTTCTCACATAATTGGTTATCGCAAAAACAGAGTAAACTGAAAGCGAGTAATCTCGACTCAAACCTATAGTCTATAGCCTACTTACTACACTCGTCACTAGGCTTCCTATATTATTGTTTGTGGACGGTTTACTACTCAGTGATAAGCCTGCGCCGCAAAAAGAGGTCTCGCCTTTTATTATTAGTATAATGACTTCCGCATGTGCGGCAGGTTAGTTTGCTTCTAAAAACACTGTTTTCCGTTCCAAAAACTACAAAAGTAATTTTCTACCAGATGACCATGGTTCTTTTCACCGAGACTAGATAATTTCTCTCGCTGTAAGGATATAGCTATGGATAAGTTCATACAAGGTCAATAAATCCGCAGTCACTTCGGGTCACACTGTTGAGAAAATAAACCGATGGGTTTGTTTAGTAGCAAATCGAGCGTGAATCAACTGAGTTTGTACTGACAAATTTTTGAGTGATATGTATGAACTGTCTTCACACATTCGGTTTATAATTAGCGATACACAGGTACAGTGGCAAGTGTTGTACTTCACAGACTGTTTACCTCCGAACTACCTCCGCACGAAATCCCCGATTTGGGTACTTGTTAAAAGAAAAAGAAATAGTACCTGTGCGCATGCCAGTAAAAAAAAAACTAAGAGTTTGCGCATAAAAATGCCCGAACGTACCAGGCGCCAGGTCATCTAGGGTTATTTTGAATATGATATTATTAATTCATTAATTAATTTGGTGAGAGTGATACTCTAAGTGATACTCTTTTAGTTTTATCATAAATATATTTTAGTCGCAGTAGAATTGATAATGAAAAGGGGGGCTGTGATGGCTCAGCGAGTATGGCGCTGGTGCAATAGACAGGAGGTCTGTCGGGATGTGCATTTGTGTGGGTTGGGTTTTCTCGCTTATTATATCCGACCGGGCGGTATAAAAGTTGAGCGAGAGCCACGGAAGTCGACCTTGAAGATCACTGGACCCTCGACTAGAATGCCCCGATGTGGGCCGAGAAGAAACAAGAGATGTTAAAACCGAGTTCTCATTCGTCAGGGCTTATTTATCTTCTTCACGTGGTAAACCCAAAATGTTCGATTTGCCGGGATTTGACTACACGGAGAGAGAGAAAGAGAAAGAGAGAGAGAGAGAGAGAGAGAGGGGGGGTAATGTCCACTAGACACAAACTAGGTCATTTCAGGACTAACACATGGTTCAATTTTATTCCAATAATTCGCTTGCGCGTAGGAGTCTTTAGCAGTGCTAGGAAACCGGGGTACCCGTAGAAAACCCACGAGGTTAGACATGCGACCTTACTCCTTGTCACGTATAACCGGGGAATCGAAACCACACTAGTTGACTCAATGACAGACTGTATGATACATGCTAACCATCGACCACACACACCCCCACCCGTCGACTTTATCACCAAGTCCTAGCCACGAGTTCACATCTTAACTGAAACATAGATCTTTATAGAGCTTTTGTTGTTTTAATGTATTAAATACACCAATAAGAAACTATGTGCCAAAGTTTTGTGTTTCTGGATCTAAGATATTTCTAAAAAACAGTGATTGAAAGTTGAGTACAATCTTAATTTAAGTCTGAGAATGCTTTGAGAACTTAGGGCCTGCTTATATGTTTTTGCTTGGTAATTTGCGTTTTCTGTTTCTTGATAAACAAGAAGTGTTAGCGACACAAATCTGTTTCTGTTTATTGCTAATAAGAACGTAAATTTGCTTGTTTACTAGTAATGACTTTGGGGAGGAGCTCAGTATACTATTAGTTCGTGGATCTTTAACGTTCTCATAGTAAGCTCTCCGAGATCTAAAATAATATAGAGTTCCAAATAAATCGCATACACTGTGTGAAGATTAATACGTTTATTAGAGACTATTGGCACAGTAAGAATATAATATAAAAAATACAAAATATTTAAACAATATGCAATGAATAAAATAATGATACTACAGCTTATTATAATTACGATTTAAAATACATTATAATTACGATTTAATATGTTTAGTAAAAGAGCATGTAAATCTTTGCCTTGTGCCTGGTATTGTTCGAATTAACAGTGTGTGCGACGTTCGATATTGAACGGATGTGCATAACTATGTGTTAAACTGTATATATATCATGTGATGTAATTCTCAATAAGCTTGTAGCAATTTACATACTATGCGTAATATATAAATATAAACCTTAATAACTTATTACTAATAAGAAATATAAACTCGCCTAAAAATAATAGAGTTCCAAATAAATTCGTCAATGCGTTTACTAGAGACTGGCACAGTAAGAATACTGACCATATTTCTTCGGTCATATATAAAGGAAATCTTACCATCAGTTTATTTGGAACTAAATTAAACATGTTAAGGCGCATATAGATAAATATACAATTTCTTTGAATAAAATATAGTCGCAAGACCATTAAAACATTCTAATAGGTGAAGCTAACATCTAGTGGATATTATTTAATAAATTGTGTACCACAAATGATACACGTGTACTATATCATGGGACATACTGAACTGTGGAGAAGTTCTAAGATTATGATGAACGATTGCGGGGACTTGCTACTGCCATGTTAATTCTAAAACAATCATTTTGAACAACAAAGATATCTATAATGTGGATGTGTGCACTCAGCTTTAGTCTTATCAAACAAATATTACATAATACAATTTTGTTCTACTGTATTGTTGTATTGTTTTATTGCCGTAAACATAAAGTCCATGAGCATTCACAATATGTATATAACATAGATTCAATACTGTACATAGATAGAGTATAATTTCAATGTATTTGTAAGAAACAAATATCACAGACCTTGTCATATGAAAACAGTGTTGTAGAGGGATTAACACCCCTACTCTAACCCCTCAACCAATACCCAGTATACAGATTATATTGTAACTAACCGCTGATTGAAGTTTATATTCGATATCAATAGAAGTTTATATTCTATATAACTAGAAGGTGATATTCGAGATAAATGAAAGTTTGTATTCGAGATAAATTATCGACCATAGAGATTTAATATAACGGATACGGAAAACATTTAAACAATATGTGAGGGAATGTTATTTAAGTAACTTCGCGGGAAGATTTCCCAAGGTCCGCATATTTGTGGTAATTAAAAATCAGAAGATGTTTGGTACTTTATAAGGTATGGCGCTGAAGACATGTTTTCATCGCAAGTTGTTTTGGGTATCTGTTCATCTGAGCTTCCGTGTAATCCATAGGATGAGCTACAAAACATTTACATTCACGCTATATTAATATTAGAAATCGGCGAGAAGAATGGGTCTATCATTTATATATATATATAGAGAGAGAAATGGGGTTTAACGTCCACTCGACACAAACTAGGTCATTTCGGGACTAACACATGATTCAATTTTATTTCAATAATTCGCAGGGGTCTTTAGCAGTGGAGGAAACCGGAGGACCCGGAGAAAACCCACGAGGTTGGATCATTTATATAGATCAGGTTCAAATGGATTGGAACATAAATTCGCTCAACCGACACTTGTCACTACGGATACTTTTGCCAATATACACTCAGTGTCGGAATGAATGTATCTTAATACAACGCAATTCGGCAAAATAAATCAAAACTTGCAGTCAATGCCCACCCTGGGTTCAACAGATTTTGATTTTATAACCATATATATAATTTCCGCCAATAAAATAAAAATAGTTTTGGATAGTTTTTTTTTAGTAATACCGAAAAGATGCGACAAGTATTGGTGATGTTCGTACCTCGACTGGTCGAATCTTGGAGTAGTATTTATATTTATTTTTCAGTTCGGAATGTAACATTTATACTTAATATTTGACTCGTAGAGTAACATTTATACATGTTCTTGCCTTTCTTAAATGGTCTGTTGTCTACAATAATCAACTTCTGCTACAGATTGTCTGTGTTACATTAAACATGCATTATACAAGAGCTAAATCTATTGCAAGTCTTTCTCGGGCTTCAAATGTTATATGAATTACTATTTAGATATGTATTCAAATGAAAAGCCCACATCCAAGTCTCTATACCAGTAACTTAAGGTTGTTTAAATACTAATTTATTATCACTAACCCCAAAGGATCTGTCGATATATTCAGAGATTCATGGAGGTAAAGGGAACGATGTGGACATGGGTTTAGCCACTCGTATCGACCCAGGACATCTCGTCACGATTAACTGAATCATCTTTACAGTAATGCTTACCTTTTATGGTTAAATAGGAAAATTACTAGAACCAAAACAACCAAAACAACCAGAACAGATACACTCATAATTGATGTTACAGGTACGACTAGAAAAGAAATAAAATAATTCCTCTTCATCATGTCAAGTTTTATAATTTAAATTACGTAAGATAGTTATATATGTGCGATATCAAATAACTGTTTTAAAATAAGATTCAAGGAAATGATAACCCGATGCCACTGCAATGACTGAAGGCCCATGTTGTCAATGGTGCTAGTTCTGTAATTCACAGATACCCAGTGACGTTTAGCTCAATTAATTCTGAATAGATCACTTCAAAGGTCGATATAATTAGTATTATTATACATATATGAACATTTTCATACTGAGAAATATTGTCACCTGTATATTATTTATATACTGGTTCATGTCTAATCAGAAGACGTCATGGTAGAAAGTACAACATTTGACTTGCAAGTCTACATGTATTACTTGGTATTATAAACAGGGAAAGCTTGGTATGTTTTTAATGAAATTTTACGGACATATCGGAATAATATTTATTTTTTTAAATAGTATGGGCATTTCTGTTGGGACATTGAAAACCATACACTGTAACACAAAAATCCGTGAAAAATGCCGGAAACAAAAATTATCAGGAAAATTTTATCCGTATTTGTTTTTTCCTGTAATTTACAGAACTTCCTTCAAGTAACATAAATTCCATTTTCAAATACAGAAAAAAATCCTGGTAATTTTTGTTTCCACAGTATGAAAGAGAAATAAATGTCACTGAATTAGAGGCAATTAACTCTTCGCTGTTGTAGCGTGTCCAAAGGTGTACGACTGACTTATTATGCAACCTCTTTCCGCTAACATATACTAATCCTATTCTGTAGACGAGAGCAAGGTAACACAAACCTCTTGTCGTCAGTGATTGGACCGGTTGGAGGATTTTAGATCTTGTGTGATCTAAATGTTTAGGTAAGGATAGCTTGGGTTATTTAATTCGTTCACATAGAATTTATAGATGTGATAATAAAAGTTACCTTGAAAGGAGAGTGGGACATCAACTGGAAAAAAATAAAATGAAGGAATAAAGGAAACATATACGACAGCAATACATGTGTTGTGTTTTAAGACAACTTTTTGGGAATCTGAATCTACGCTATAGGTGGTGTCGTCTACCTAACTGTACACAGTTTTACAATATACAGCAATGATTTTATTATTACATTTCTAGTCCGGTTTGCCAAACCCCATTTTAAGCGTTGACGTGAAAATTTAGTCCACCTAATGAAACCCCCCCCCCCCACGCCTCCCGTGAAAAGATTGTCGACCATAGATATACATTGTCCGTCAATTTTACAGCACCCACGAGAACACTTCACGCCCCCCCCCCACCCACCTCGTTGCTCTGAGTACGGTGGTGCTGTTAAGATATAATTATTACATTATGTAATCTCAATATTACATTACATGTATCATTGTATTTAGACATCGCTGAATTGCAGAAAAAATTAAAACCTATAGATTTCCAAAATCATTGTCCAGATTTCCACGTACCTTCGTTCCTCTCTAGATTTCCACTTACTTTCTGAACTCCCTTGATTTCCACTTATCTTTAGACCTCTCTAGATTTCTACTTATCTTAAGCACATTATGATGATCTCTCTTGATATATTTTGTACTTGCAACCCGACTTCTAGACTTAGACTTTGATTTTGAACTCTCTAGATAATTTATACTTTCTGACAAAATATTCTTGTATTAGTAATTATCTATAGTTATGTCTACAATAGAATGAAATACTTACCATCACATTCTGACTCATTTCTAGATCCTAGACCTCTTGTAGTTTTACCAACAGGACATGTTTTACATCCCGTTTGACCAACAGAATCTGTATACTGACCAATTTCACACAGTTCACAATAATCTTCCTTCATATAAGATCCTAAACCACATGGTACTGGTAAAATAAAGTATATAATAATAATATATGTCACCCAAACAAAGATGCATGCAAACAGCACCAATGTAGGCCGGTTAAAACAGAATCTATATTAAATTAAACATCCAGGGAAACAGACAAAAAAAGGATTGCAAACCTGAATATAGAAATAACAAAATAACATGTTGGTCTCAAAAAGACCAGTAAAATATCGACGGGACGTCATCCAACAAAAGATTTCAACAAAATATTTCTAGGTGAAAATAGGATTGCAATGTTTAGTATGCCAATTTAAGTTGTCTCAGTTGCTCAATTGGTTTATAATATTATAATTATATACATATACAAACCACAATAAACATCATATGGCCAACTTCCAACTGGACAACCTGCTTTACCCTGGCTTTCTGTAGAATTATTGTTTAATTCATAGATATTCTGTAAAACATCTACCGTAAATTCTCCTTTAAGCGCGGCTGAATTTAACGAAGAAATCGCTTCTTGAAGTTGTTTTATTTTATCACTGTGATCTGAAAAGAAGGTGCTATTTTTATCATTTAATATTTTATCGACAATCTTAACTGATATCCATGATTCTGGTGGAATCTTTAATTGCCAATCAGCATTTATCGAAGATCACTTTTCAATGCTATCCATAAAAATGAAAATATAGTACAATATTAGCCTACCCTGGCGTCTCGGCGAGGCTATAAAGTAATAACGGCACTCGCTAGTATAAAAACAGTCCAAAAATGATTTATATCAACCAACTCTAGTGACGACTGTTTACATTGGTTTCTACTGATTTCACATCTTTAGACAAACATGCTTATGCTTCCATGACAACAATTGAACATTTATCACAAAACTTCTGTAGTTGGTTATCACTAATATAATAGTTGTCATTATATAAACACACAAGTATACATCACGCCACCAACGTCGCCATTTTTAGTTTTACCCCCCCCCCCCACCATCGCTCCGAATGAGCAGCTCTAGCATTAAAATCGTCCAAAAACAGACATTTGTGCGGCGCGCACCTCCACCAGAACTCCACAGTGACCACGTCGACCCACCAGAGCAATCTGTGTCCCATGTCCCTTAACACCTCACAAACTATTTTAGCTATCTACGACCCTGTGTTTTAACACCTCACAAACTATTTTAGCTATCTACGACCCTGTGTTTTAACAAAATTATAACAACTAATCTTATCATCACAAACAGGAAGAAGAATAAGAAGTGGTGTCTCGGTGAGTAAGGCGCTGGCTTACTTACCGGGCGATACGGGAAAGGTACCGGTGTTAGCCGAGAAACTTCCCCACTATTTTCCAGTGTGGGTTTCTCTTACCAGTAAGGACAAGGACAGTGTCTAGTAGATCTCGTGTACACGCTGGCGTGCACGTAAAATAACCCTTGACAGTTAGAATTGGAGTAGGTCATAGAGCCACTACCCGCGCAAAATTTCCCTCATAGCCCAGTAAAACGTTAAATCTCATTTCATTTTATTTCATTTCCAACCCAAACAAACTGATAATATAAAAATTACCTGCACTTAAGGAAGAAATAACAACTTCAATTTCAGCTGTGTTTTCCTCCAGTGACCTCTTCTGTCGGTCCCCTATATTAGCACAACTTGAAACTTTCACTGTATCCACAGTACACATTTGAGACTTAACACAGTCTAATTTAAATAGCAATGTTGTTATTTGCTGTTTTGACTGTTCTTGAAACTTTTCTGTAAAATCATCCTGGTCACAGCTTAAGTTGCTATAGGTTCCACCAAATATGACGCTTAGTGTAACTGCTGGTTCAAACTCTGAGAGAAAACAAAACAAAACTTATTAAAGGGGAAATCCAGCCGTTGTACACGTAGTTGTAGATTTCTTATATGTATGGTTCAATGGTCGAGAGCGAGACATTAAGTAATATATTGATACTGCTCGAGACCATTCAACAACTTAAAATACAGACACTATCCCGCACGTGCTTTTCAATGAAATACGTCACGCGAATCCAATATTTCATCTAGTATAGAAAATGTACGATTATCAAGTTGCCCGTATATTATTGGAAACAATGGTACACCAACATCAAAGGATTTTTATTTTAATTCATTCTAATATGGAAGCCGTTTCCACAATGCTGAACCCGCAGTACAAATAATTCCGTCAGCGTATGGTCGGGATGAGAAAATTGCTGTAGTTTATACTTACTAGAACAATATGGAAGTCGTTTGTAAGGATTATATACGCTATGATAATTCCATTCATAGAAAGTTGATGGTCCACATATATATTGTTTCAACGGTGGTATATCATTCATGTAATCTTGGTTACACCCAGTTGTACATATTATATGATCTGTTGAGTTGTCACAATCGATGTAACCATTCTCAGGAGCAACAATATCTTCACAAACTGTTGATAGAAATACAATAGATATATATAGTACATTATCAGGAGCAACTATATATTCACAGACTGTTCATAGAAATACAATTGATATAGTACATTATCAGGAGCAACTATATCTTCACAGACTGTTGATAGAAATACAATAGATATATATATAGTACATTATCAGGAGCAACTATATCTTCACAGACTGTTCATAGAAATACAATTGATATAATATAGTACAGGAGCAACTATATCTTCACGGACTGTTGATAGAAATACAATAGATATAATATAGTACATTATCAGGAGCAACTATATCTTCACAGACTGTTCATAGAAATACAATGGATATATAATACATTTTCAGGAGCAAGGTATATCTTCACAGACTGCAGGCAGAATACTATACAAGGAAAGGTGCCATCTTTCTAAACATCATTTACACATGTTTCAAAACAAAAGGCTCTTACTCTGAAAGATGTACTTACATATGCATTCCTGTTGTATACATTCCTCAACCTCAGTACTATTTCCTTCACACTCCAGACCTCCATTATCTGGACTAGGATCATTACAAACACGTTTCCTGTATCTGGTACCGTTACCACAAGTTGCAGAACAAACTGACCAAGTACTATAATCAGTCCAACCTCCATCAACTGTAGAATTAATTGAATAAATGAATCAAAATTATCTAAACGGTTACATTAAATATGTGAAGCAATTGAATAGTTGAGAGACAAGTAACGTCTACTCAACCCTAACCATGTCTTTATTTCAATAATTCGCCTACACGAAAGGGATCGAAATCGCCTTATTTGAATCGATGACACCCGAACCTTTTTTTGAGTATGTGTAAGGAATAATCTCATAAACAGTCCTCACTGTACTATTTCACGGATTAAAAGTCGGCCGGCATTCCGAGAACATGGTAAAATCTGCTGAAAACACAGATCTACTAATGCATTTCCATAATGATTTTTTTGTAAATAATAAAATTGACTGAAGCTTTCATCCTAGTGATATTTGTAGCTGGTTTCTAAATCTGTATAAAGCCTAGATGGTTTCCTGGTTTCATTTAATGTAAAAAAACAGGTGCAAATTTTATACTTACCAACAACAATTTCACAATACTTCCCTTTAAAACCAGTAGGACAACCGCAATGATAATCATCGACGTCATCAATACACGTGCCGTTGTTCAAGCATACGTTATCGACACAGTCGTTTATATTGGCATCACAGAACTCATCTGTAAATCCCACGACACAGTGACACGTGACTTCATTGAGTCCATCTTCACACGTTGCATTATTTTGACATGGATGTGATTGACAGTCATCGGTATCTGATTTATGGAAACGAAAGAAAAAGGTTACTGTGAACTTATTTGTGTTTGAAGTCGAATCAAGTGTTCTAGAGAATTATAGTTACTACTTTTCAAGTACTACTCTGCAAGGACTGAATATTATTTAAGAGCATGAAATATATTATTGTTTTTTTAGTCTTATACTTTTCGAGGAGAAATCTGCAAGGGTAGCATGAAATATATTATTGTTTTTTTAATCTTATACTTTTCGAGGAGAAATCTGCAAGGACTGAATATTATGTAAGAGCATGGGATATATTATTGTTTTTATTAACCACATCCTTTAAAGGAGAAATGTTGGATGTCACGTCACTTCTTATCCGGCTTTCCAAACGCACTACCGAGCTTTAGATAATTGCTTTGGACTAGAGTACGTGTTTAAAGAAATATATTTGTGATTTCTCGTGTAATATCACTGTCGTCAGTGTATTCTTACCATCACAAGTGCTGGGTAAATCAACAAATGAACCATCAAATCCAGCAAGTATAAAGTCTCTCCATGTTATCAGGTTCCCACTCAAATTACCAAAACATTTAGATGGTTGATCAGCAATATCTCTTGAGTTATTCCACACTTGGAATTGGCTGATTGATCCCTGGAATTCAGTACCTATAAGAAATGGAATTATTATTTATTATTATCGTAAGTAAGTAACTTCAAGAGAAAGAGATATCGGGACTAACACATGGTTGTATTTTATTTCAATATTTGGTATGCGTGGGGGTTATAAGCCGTGGGTGGAAACCGGAGAAGATCCACGAACTTGGACATTGGATCTACTCCTTAATTTGGTTGCATTTTATTTCGATATTTAGTATGCGTGGAGGTCATAAGCCGTGGGTGGAAACCGGAGAAGATCCACGAACTTGGACACTGGATCTACTCCTTAATTGGGCTGTCGGTGTAAGCTTGCCCTCGCTTCTGTCATTCTTTTTCGCATCACCCTTCAATGTAATGTCCGCCTCTCCTCGCCCACAGAGCTTTCCGTTGTGTACACTCACCACGACCCACACCCGGTTCACTGTAAGCTGTGTAAACTGGCATTACACATATCACTGCATTTCAAATTAAATCAAAAATCTCACCTCCTAATTCAATAGAAGATATATTATGAGTTATACCAATGATATCTTCGTTTATTTTCAGAGTTCCATCATTCCAGACTTTAAGACTATTATCGGATAGGATGAGGTTCACATGATGCCATTTGTTGGTTAAGGAAGGAAGTTTTAGATTATAATCCAGCCTACAATATACAATTAGTAACTAACAAATGTATTACAAGTATTTTAAATTATTAATCAATATAGAATTAGAAGTCACTCGTTTCACCTCTGGTCTGACAGACGTAATTGACACGTTGTCAATCATGATCGAGTAATCCGTCATACGGGCGATTAAATGTGTTTGGTGAGACTTTACTGGTGGTAGTTGTACATTATTGGTTGAAACGCCACTTTATTATTTCAATTCATTTTGGCAATCAGATGATCTAGTCTTATTTGGATCTTGACAAACATCCGGAAAACAACGAAGATTGCATAAAAATAGAAAGGTTGAAAATTTAGACTGGACATCCTCGTCTTCGCCAACTCGTTTGTGAATACCAATTGGCAAGAAGATTTTGCGTGACCTGTAAATCGGTATAGCTATTTCATTAAATCCTAATTTCCTACAATTAATAAGTTACTCGTGAATAGGCCATAGGGTCCGGCTTTGTTGGCCTCAAAGGTTTTCTAATTCCAGGTCTTAGTCCACGGGTAATAGTAGTCGGCGTTTAAGTCACCGAAAACGTCCGATGGTATTTTATCAAACATTCCCAATACCCGGGGATAAATATACGTGTACAGCATAAATGTTATAACAAACATAGGGATGGGGGTGTCGATTAGTCTGTAATTGAGTTAATGACCTCCTTTTGTCGCTTAATGTTGAGCAGAAATATAAATCTGTAACGTGTATTATAGGCCAGACCTCAGAGAAAATCTGCACACCTTTACACATGAGTATGAGCACTAAACCTGCTACACCACTGCCTGGTTCCTCGTACGCAAAAAAATAGGTAAACATCCTCTAGTACGTAAACGCGGAATACAATAAAATTGATTTAGTATGAAACATCTTGTGTACATGTGTACACTCAAAATGAATACAGTTAGATTACTGATCTTTTATGTATCCTAAGAGATACAATTTAACAAATTTAGAATAAATTATGCTTACTGATCAAAGGTGACGATTAATGATGTATTTGTTATATTCATTTCTAACCATGTCATCGTTTCATCTTTCATTTGAAACAAGTTAGTACATATTGAACAGCTAAACCAAAAACTTAAACTAATATCTTCTACTTCCACTGAACTTTCTAAATACTGAACAGCGATACTGTCGTTTCCCGTGCCCAGAAACTGTATATCAAAATCTGTGAATGTAAATGTACTCTTCTTGTCAATACCCATGAATCAAAGCATTCATTATAAAAAACACACGTATTCTCTGATTTGTGATAATATATATTACCAGGTACTTTGTCGTATGAATTTGTTTCGTTCTAAATTGGCCATTTTAAGAAATGATTCTGAACAAGAAATTAATGCGAGTAAGAAATTAACGCGAGCAGGAAATGTGAACCAATTTCAATACGAATTTAAAACAAAAACAAAACTAGGTTAGATACAATCTTTATCTCGATGTTAAATGATCATAGAACGAGTTATTCTTCCACAGCGGACATGTGTTCTTATTGATAAAGACGGCGATAAAGAATAAGCATAAAGTTATATGAAAACTTTAGATTACGGTAACTTATTAGGTTAGAATCCATGTTAATCATTTTGGAAACGAATGGTTTTGCGACGAAGTTTGATTTTGTAATTTTCAACTAATTCGTTTGTTGGATTTTGATTCCTGTGTACCAGATAGAACCGAATCTTTATTTACATTCTATTGACTATGAAGCTATTTATTTCTGTTCCTTTTATTTAGATGATTAGGCTATTTACATCAAAAGTCTTGTTTTAAAAGTACTTTCTGTATCGGTGACGACCACATACTGATGCCTGTGATCTGATCAGATAGTTGAATACAATTTTCGAACACCAACGTCCTGTGCGGGTTTGATTGGTAGGTTGATTTGCCGACTGCGCTCTAATCAACGCGCACTATAAACATCAAGACGGGGATCTAGAGTGTTGCTTGGAGATAGAGGCGCTTCTCAACCTCGTGGGTTTACTTCATGTACTCCGGTTTCCAACCCATGGGAAAGACCCCTGTGCATGCGCTAATCATAAGAAACGTGTCTGCGATATCACCATCGGTGGAAGCGGACGTTAAACACTAATAGAAGAAGATGTAGAACAACCAAAAAATAAAGCAGAACGAAATTCGTGTATATTATTGATTCGACTAAATAAATATGCACCTACCTAAGCATTCTGACATATTTGACGAACCCTCTGTTTCAGTTGTTTGTGATCCAGGGCACTGAATACAAGACCGTTGACCAATGTCCGACTGGTACTGACCTCTACCACAAGGTGTACATGGTTCTATACCATTAGCTGAAGATGTACCCACAGGACAGCCATCTGCATTTGAATTAATGTTGATATCGTTATATAAATTGGTAATCATTTAATGTTGATATTATTATAAAAATAGGTACTTAATGTACATCACTATTGGTTAACACATTAATGGCTTATCATTTAATGTTGATATCATTGTATTAAAAAAAAAACCATTTAGTGTATATCAGTATAGTCTATACATTGATGACTTACCATAATTTGACGTTGATATCATTATAAAAAATAATACAAATGGGTATTACCAGTGGGTTTGAAAATATTGGTTACCAGGAGTCAAAGGTGGCCCACCCACCAATACAATTCTATCATTTAATTTTTAAAATGAATAAATTAAATTTTCAAAAAATATGTAAGTGGAAACAAAAAGATGTAATTAGAATTTTTCCGATTTTGTTTTCTTTATATTTATTGATAATTTATATTTTAAATATATTGTCTAATGTCTAAGGGAGCCCACCTCCTCGGGGGCTCACTTGCCATTGGGCAAGCTGACAACCTGGCCAGTCCGCCACTGGGTATTACATAATGTTGATATCACACAATTCGATGGCCTATCATTTTAGCGTTGATACCATTATACAAAAAGATGGTCTACTATGCAATATTGATAACTTTATAAAAATAAAAATTCTATTATCTATTGTTGATATCATTATAGAATAGAAATCGTTTTGGCATCAATTACTAAACAGGAAAAGAAACGTCAGGTTGCTATGTTACTCTGAATTGTATATTTGTGACCACATCTCCAACTTTACCTGAGCAATAAACCTCCTTCCCAAACACAGAATTGAACCCAGGAAATGTTCTCAAAAACGCAACCTGACTTGTAAGTCGGTAATGTGTTCTCCATGATTTCCATGTAACTCATGCTGCACGTGCTGTTCACCGGGACCAGCCCTATGAAATGCAACACCCAGACTCACGACAGCTCAGACGAACCAGACGCTTGGAAGACTCGACGCTGGCCACACTGTCCAAGCCGTTGCCAATCACTTCCAGGTCAATGTTCGGACCATTTACAGGCTTCAGCAACACCACGGATAACTGCCCCCGACAGTGGGAACACACGGAAGACCCACCTGTACCGATACAGTGGGCCGACGTCTCACTAGAGAGAACTTCCAATGCCGTGCACCTTATCGTGGACCGATCCTAACCCCTCACCATCGACGTGAACGTCTACTATTTGCCCAACAACACCAGAACTGGTGACACAGTCAATGGAGAACTGTTCTGTTCACAGATGAGAGTCGGTATTGCGTATCAACTGCAAATGGCAGGACCAGAATATGGCGTCGACGTGGCCAGCGTTATTCTCACCAATGTGTCATGGAACGAGACTCATGGGCAGGTTCAAGCATAATGGTTTGGTGTGGAATCGGTCTGAACCAGGGGGTGTGTCCTGTGGTGTTCCAACGTCTTGGTTCAAGGGAGAGGGGACGGCATCACAGCAGTGCGCTACATCGATCAATCTCTCAGACCCTACGTCATACCACATTTCGCACGTCATCACAACGCCCGTGCCCACACCGTCAGAAGTACTCGGGACTTTCTACAGCAGAACGCTGTCAACGTTATGCAATGGCCAGCCCTTAGTCCGGACTTAAACCCGATTGAACATCTTTGGGATGAAATTCAGAGAAGAATTAATAACGTCGTACCGAGACCAAACACAGCCGGTGGATTGTGCCAGGATTTTCTGAGTGTGGTTCCAGGTGCCAATGGCGATCATCAATCGTCTTGTTCACTCCATGTACAAACGCTGCGCTGCTGTTATTGACACTCGCGGTGGACACATAAGATACTGATGTATAGACTGTGTACAGACTCCAAACCTTCTCGTAATGTCTTGGAATTGTGATGAATTAATCACAAATGTGTCAACATACTGTTCACAAAAAATTACTTTGATCCATTTAGTAAGTCGTTTTCTAGAATGATTTGATTAAAGTGCCTCTCTGATTTTGAAATCGTACTGACGTTTTTTTTTGCTGTTTAGTATATATCAACACAGGTCGATGAAGGTTCTAGCTATAAGGCTGTTCTGGTCAATGTTGCGTATATTACACAGTAATTTATGAGCCCTTTTATTCTGCGAGTCTTGACTAAACAGTAACAACTGTCAAACTAGAAACCACATTATAGACAGGCGCTTGAAAGATAAATGTAAACCTGGACAACATGGATAAACGATTTCGAGTATTAAAAACAAGAGTTGCCTCCCCTGTGAGTGTAGGCACCCGATTGTATTGCGAAATTGAGAACAAATATCAAAAATAAAACATTTGGTTCTTAACCAGCGGAAGCTGCAAGAACAGAAAACAAACTCTAATGTGTATCGTTATTTTTAGGACTTCGAATTTTGTCTAATGGTTTGGATTGTTCGTACTTGGTTTTATTTTATTTACTTGCTACGTTTACTTCTATGTTATGTAAAAAAAATGGAGTAATGACGCATTTACTTCTATGTTATGTAAAATAATGGAGTAATGGCGCATTTAGACACAACGATGTGCTGCACATCGGCGCTATTACATTTTGTATAGCTGGTCGGTAATACGGACATCAAAAACTTTAGACATACACAAGACACAATCAATTCTACGGACTAAAACTACTGTGCAAATTACCGAGTGATGTTTCGACCAAGTTATGTGGTCTATTTCAAGGTTTGAGAAACAGTCCAAACTTCTATAAAAAAAAAAGTACTGTATTCTATACTGTTGAGTTCTGTGTATATTCCAGTTTATGTATTAAATTTTATTGAAGCAATTCATAAATTGGACACACAAGCAAAAGTCTAAATTTTAAACGAGTTTCACCCATTATCACACTAACACTATTTATGGAATAACAATTACTGGTTAATTAACATGCAACGTTACCAGTAATTGTAATTCCATAAATAGTGTTAGTGTGTTACTGTTCAATTACTAAATGCCTCTTAAAGAAGTTACCCATTATCTTTACCCCTCAGAATAACCGATATTCAACAATAACCTTAAAATGAATAATTTTTATCAATTTTAAACCAAAAGATCGAGATCAACAAAAAAGAACACACAAAACGAGGATATGAAACAGAAATGGCTTCTCTAAGAAAAAGACGCACTACCAGATTAATTTGTAGCCTAACAACCTAACAAAGAACTGCACCTACTTTCACACTGATTACCATCAACAGCGCCTTCTATTCTCGTTGTACTGCCATCTGGACACTGAATGCAAAATATCTGCCCTTCTTCACCTTGGTACTGGCCAATAGGACATTTTAAACACCCATCTTGGATTTTATCATGATAAGAGCCTTCAGGACAAGGTGCTAAAATAGACAAAATAAAGATGAGCCGCATTAATCAGATTATTAATTATACACAAAGGGGGATATTAAGCACCTCTGTATATTTTACAATGACTCGTTATGTGAGCTTTGCTATTAATGTGGTTTGCAAAAAAAAAGGGCCTTGCCAATTAGAAAAGATAAAAGGTTGATCCTGTTTTTTGATAATGTAATCACCCGATAAAGCACATTTGAGACATCTTGGAGCGTCAGGTACATGCTTGAGTACAGACTCAGAGAATGCCTGCAGGTGCTCACTCAGCAGATCAGACGATCGGTCTTCACCAGTAATCTGAACATCCATACAGTGCAAATGCCGTCCTTTTTAAGGCCAAGGGTATTTGTTTTCGTACCAAGATTATTATGCCAGAAGGAATAACACGGATTCAAAAGGACCTTTCAATTTCCACTAATCACAGTCTTTTTTTATGAGGAAAAAGCCATATCTTATCACCACTTTGTTTATCGTACTGCAGTCTAATATACATAAATATTCACAATTAGTAACATCTTGTCAGACTGAAATTCACAAGTAATAAACGGAATTAACATTCACTAAGAAAGCTGTTAAAATTGACCTACTGCAGTAAGTATCAGCTGCTACGTAACCATCAGAACAATCGACGCTCAAAGTGGGCGTATCTATTTCTTTTATTGTAATCTCCTCATCTCCAACGGTAAAACTTGTTTCTTTTAAATCAACCATTCGTTTAACAACGTCAGTGGTCCTAGTGTTGATGTCATCCATTGTGTCGTTCTCCAAAGCCAGTATAATTATATCAAGGTGTAGTAAATGGGTCACGTTAGTATCGTTAGTGTACATTTCATTAGGCTCAGAAACATAGTAAGTATTGTTAGTGTACGTGTCATTGGTCTCAGAAACAACGTAAGTAAGATTAGAGTGCACTTCATTGGTCTCGGATTTTCTTTTGACTCGTTTAGAGCCACATTCAACCTATGGAAAAAAAATGGTGGAATAATAACAATTGATATTGAACTGTTGAGGAAAAGAGACTATAGAGAAAAATCATGAAATTACGGATTAGTTTTTTTTGTTACGACAGCGTTGTTTCAATCAATTCTAAGACAACTTCAAGTTGCTATGTTATCCTTTAGATACATTGTAAACGTGTACACGGGGTCAAGGATATTTACGAACTACGCCGGGTATACTTTCTTTTCCCAGAGAATCTGATACCACCTTTTATTTAAGGAACGAACTCAGTATAAATTCATTGGCTCCTGTTTCTTAAATCCACCACCAAATTAGGTATGGCTACGTTCTTTCAAGAACAATTTATATCATGTCGCATTTGAAGAGTTCGCATAGCTAACTCATATTTTTTTTGTACTTTTGCATTAAAACAACTTCGCTATAGTGACTTTGTTGGCGCCTTTACCCTCGACCTTAACCCAGTAGCTACGGCTTCTAAAAACTAGCGCTTCATTTCGCTGTATGGAATGACAGTTATCGCGCATAAGGCAGGGTACAACTTTCCATTCATCGTCCTTTTGTTTTCCTATCAACTCTAATACTTTATACTTCTATTTTTTTCTAATTTATCGTGGAGAAAACTTACCTTGACATTGGCCTCAACACATTTTGAAGGATATTGGCATGCCATCATCTGTTCCATGAAAGTGTGAATAAAATTGTTCTGGATGTTACTTTTGACAGTATCACTGTTACAATCGCCATCAAAATAAAAACGTCCTTTCAAAATAAGACTGGATCTGCGGCAGTCTGAAAATTAAACATATTATTTTTAAAATAAAAGAAATAAAAATGATAAGAAAAACAATAATAAACATAATACGTCTAGTTACGGCCCTGCATAAGAGGTAAAACTTTGAATTAATTCGAGACACCAAATTATAATATCGCCTACTCACTGAGCCACCGATGATCTGAGAAGAATTAAAACAATGGGTGGATGAAGGACCACCGGCGTTACACCTATTAAATAGTAATAATAAGTGTGGGATTACCTACTACACATTAACAAAACCCATGGCATAAGACAACACAATATATACAAAGACGTTGTAAATACCAAACGCATTCATGTACATCAAACCAGCATCACTAGCATTATACCCATTTACATAATATAACAGGTAAATTAAAAAATAAGCCTGCAAGTTTATAACAGTCGATAAATGGCCATATTGTTATGAATTATGGCGCTATTGCACTTTCGTACCTCTACCAGTTCCCGTGGTCGTAGGCACTAAGACTCAAGGTCAAAATCAAGGTCACGGCAATATTCACACCTAAAGGCCAATCCACTGATCAACACCAAATAGTATTTTATAGAACATGGTGGCTTCGCGCAAAAATTAAAGTATACGAAAATTATATTAACTTTTATGAACTGCAGAGATAGGCAGCTAGTGCAGTGTGTCGGTTTCCGTCTTAGTGTCTTGTTATTCGAGTCTAAATAGTAAACAAAGCAAATGGCGTCAAACAGATGAAGTTCTCTCTCGTTAGAAATTAAAAGGTCGGTAAAATAAAAAGTTTTTGATCGATTCGGCTGAAATTTGGTGTGTGGTCATTGCTAGTCCCCCTTACGAAAGTGCAATAGCGCCTGAATTATACCATTATTCCATAATTATTCATATTTTTATTGTAAATATTTTCATAACTGCCTCTGCAGATAACAGGTAACAATTTTCCTTTGATTGTTGGCATTGCTTAATAGATGTTTACGAGAACAGCATGTGTGAAATAGTTTTATTAAAAGTCACACAAATAACCTTTTATACTTAATTTGTAGCATCAAATTAACGCACGTGTTAAGTAGTGGGTCTATAGTTCATTGCAGAATATGGTTTGATAAATTACTTTGACAAAATACAAATATTACACAAATTTCATTAAATTGCAAAATATATCTCCAGGTAGATACTCAACCCTAATACAAACTAGATAGTACTTACGTTTACATTCTTTTGGTAATGTTTGTGGAAAGTTAACATCGTTATTCCAGCAACCAGATTTTCCACACATAAGCAGTTGTTTAAACTGTGTGTATTCAGGAGTCACATCATACCCCTTTTGACACTGTAACTGGCAAAACTTTCCACCATACCAAATATTACAGGCTATTGCACCATTGTCAGGAGGCTTCAGATATGGACAATTGGCAGTGACTACAATGTTTGAAGAAATGAGAAGTGGTCTAATGTGTATACGGAACCTCGGGCATTTGTCCATCCGAACGACTAAAAACTGTAATTGTCAGGCCCTCTGCCTTTTACGGGCAATCTAATGTGTGCACAGAACCTCAGTTTTTCGTACCATCCGAACGACCAGACACTGTCCTTGCCAGACTCCCTGTCCTGCACCACTGAAAAGGGGTAACAGCGCAGGAAAATTCCGACAAACACTCTCGGTCAACGACGGGAGTGAACCCCATACCTCCTGGTTAGCCATGTTAAATAACATCCTAGGCCAACAGCTCTTAAAGATTCAATTTACTATAATACAACTCATTAACTTTGGGGGGTTGGATGGCTGAATGGTCAGCGTGCGCGCGCTGTATCATAAAGTTTGTCATTGAGTCGACTGGCGTGGTTTTGAATCCCCGGTTGTACGTGACAAGGAGTAGGGTCGCCTGTCCAACCTCGTGGGTTTTCTCCGGGTCCTCCGGTTTCCTCCCACTGCTAAAGACCCCTATGCGCAAGCGAATTATTGAAATAAAATTAAACCATATGTTAGTCCCGAAATGACCTAGTTTGTGTCGAGTGGACGTTAAACCCCATTTCTCTCTCTCTCTCTCTCTCTCTCTCTCTCTCTCATTAACTTTGTTACAATCCCGCTTTATACAAAGATAAATACAGTACTAAGTACTAGTAATTAATGTCTGCCATTTATTTGGCGATTGAGAACGCGGGGGGGGGGGGCAACCTCACTGTTGGCTTGTTTATTTACATTAAATTTGTTTATTTGGTTTACTTATTATCATTAGATCTACTTATGTCGTTTGGGTATTGTAGTATAATAAAGTATACACGCCTACTATTTTACTTACAAAAATAACATGGAATAACAAGGAAAACTGCGAAACACGGGTTTTAAACCGCGACGATGAAGTAGATAATACATATATATGTATAAAAACATTTGCCTTACTTTCACATATAGGTTGAGATTTACCAAAAGACCAAACACCATATTCCGGTCTATTTCCTTTTCTTATTTTTCTGCATGTTGTAGAGTTATCCTTTTTAGAGAATACTGTTCCATCATCACATCCAAAAATACACTCTGAACCATAACGATAACCATCTGGGCAGGACACTGTTTGATATACCCGTGGATATAATGTATGACATACTATCTCTACAAAACAAAAACAAATTTTTAATATTGATATAGCCTCAATGAACCAGTTTGCCAATAATATTTTTTCTTATTTAAATGGGGGGTTGGATGGCCGAATGCTTAGCACGTATCTTGATGCCTGTCATTGAGTCACCTGGCGTGGTTTCGAATCCACGGTTGTACGGGTCCTCGGGTTTCCTCACGCTGCTAAAGACCCCTACGCGCATCGAATTATTGAAATAAAATTAAAACCATAATGTTAGTCGAGTGGACGTTAAACCCCATTTCTCTCTCTCTCTCTCTCTCTCTCTCTCTCTCTCTCTCTCTCTCTCTCACTCTTTTTTAAATTTAACAAAAATAAAAACTTGAAAATAAAATTCTTCTATAAATATTAATATTTTAAATTACATCAAAACACGATAAAAATTAACAAGTCTATTGTGGTCATTACATTATTGCCAAAAGGTTAAACTTGGTATGGTAATACTATATTGTCATATACTATATCTGATTAAAATACAGATCTATATTTCGTTTCGTTTTTTTTATACTTTCGATAGTCTACGCTACATGAAGATCTGACAAGTTGTACTCGAAGGTCCGTGTCAGGGATCGGACGAGCGACGTTTGACCCTATGGTTTCAGACATTTATTAATCAATCAGCGTTGACGTTGCTAGTGGTTTACCCACAGTTCCGTACATGGCACGACAAGAAGTCGCTTATCCCTCACTTCAACCAAAACGCCGGTAATATAACAGCTCGTCCAGATCATAGTGTAGGAAAGACAAGTAAAACGATATTTTGAACTATAAAAAACGAAACGAAATAAGATCTGTGTTTTAATCAGATTGACTATATTGCATAGAGGTAGAATAATGTAATTGCTTAAGAAATATTTCGGTTAATAATTAGGTGCCTATAAATAAACTCGGTGGGTAACGTCTACTGTCTGGCAAACCGGAGGACTCGGAGAAAAGCCACGAGGATGGACAGGCGACCCTACTCCTTGTCACGTACAACCGGGGAATCGAAACCCCGCCAGCTGACTCAATGATAGACCGTATGATACAACGGGTGCGTGCTAACCATTCGGCCATCGAATACCCTGTATTTAAACAATATTTTATTTAAAAAATGGAAGGGATTGGGGAACAGCATTGCCAATAAGACCTCTTGTTTTCTCTTTAAATTAACAAGCCCTTTTAACAATGCCTACAGGCCTCGAGTTCCCCTTAATAAGATGTTAAAATTCTATACGGTCCCTGTTAAAAAAGCAGATAATTACGACTTTTATTCGGTTTTATTCCACATTTTACGATTTCCGAATCTAGAGGTTAATTCTTTTTATGAGCAATACGGGCTCTCCAGCTTTCTATTCTTTTAGCACCACGTGATCAAAGTTTTCAAAGTTGAATATTAGAAGCTTTCTAAGTCGAATCTAATTCACATAGCCTTTTCTTTTATTTTAAATTTCTCAAATATACCAATCCTCCGAATAAATGTGAGACATCCAAAACATACAACTATTTAATCAACGAGTAGCTCACCTTTAACGACCACTTTAAATTTACATGTCTTGGCTTTATTATTAGCCGCATCTTTAGCACTATATTCAATAGTATGAACACCAATCGTGAATGTAGAACCGGGTTGTTTCCCTTTAATTAACACCGGACTAATATGTTCTGTCGAGTTGTCATCAACCTTTGGAATCGGCCATGACACTGTGGTGCTGTTCTTGCCCTTGTCAGCGATTTCTACGATTGTACTTGGACAATAGCTAAACTTGGGCGGTTTGTTATCTGAAATATGTTAATTTTTATATAATTTAAAATTCATAAAGATGGCGATCACAAAATTCTTAAATTACCTAATTGTGAAATGAAATTAAATGAACTGGGTATATATAACGACTTGTCTGTAAAATCCCAGTCAATTATATATGTTACAATTTGAAAAAGTGGTTAAGTGAAACTGGTTTATCAGATATATTTAATAAGGCATTATTAATTATTATATTTTATTATATATTTATTTTCTATTACTTATTTTTATATATATGATATATCCAGAAATATTAGCACAACCGTATATATATATATATACATGTGTATGTATGTATGTATTAAAACCACAGTGTTACTATGTAAATATGTATAAATATACTATACTGTCCATCTTTATACAATGACATTATTTATGAATAGACCCAAGACGGACGAAAAGTACTTTAAAATGTTAAAATGTTTTTAAACCAGTGTTGAAATCAGTTTTTGTCGGCATACCTTTTATCTTTTCATCGTTTACCGTGAAACAAAGTAGTGCAGCTTTACGGTTGTGCTAATATTTCTGGATATACACTGAAAAAAAACTTGTGTTGAATCAACACAAACTTGTGTTGTTTTCAACACAAGTTAGGTGTCTCTATTTAACAACACAAACTTGTGTTGAAACAACACAAACTTGTGTTAAATGTTGAAACAACACAAGACTTGTGTTAAAATTTACCAAACAACACAAACTTGTGTTGCAACTTGTGTGAATATCTACACAATACTTGTGTTGAAACTTGTGTTGAAATTTCTGAAACTTGTGTTGAAATTTCTGAAACTTGTGTGGTTTCATAAAAACTTGTGTATAACCACCACCAAAACTTGTGTTTTATTTTCCCTTAATTTAGCAATCTTTCCCATGCAGCCCCCACCCCTTTTGCTCTGTTTAACCTGTAAAGTTTGATAAATGAGGTAACAATAATTTTATTTGTTAAATTATCATTTATTCATAAAATGATAGGAAAAGGTAAATTAACACCACCAAATCAAAACTAAATAGACATCATTTGAAATGTTAACAGAAAAACAGAGATATAATTCTAATACTAATAAAAATTTTGTTATACTTTGCCCCCCCCCCCCACATCACAAAATACAAAGTAGCTATTTAATTTTTTCTTTACCCGAAAACAAGAACTGAGAAAAGAAAGATCCCTACCCCATACCCCAAAAATATATAATTCAAATATATCTAAATTTAATAACATCCAAACCAAGCCCTAATTAGATTAATTATGCACTAAATTGAAATACTTTCAGAAACTGAAAAGTGCTACAAAGTCATATTACAAGTGATTTGTGAGGCATCTAGAAATAACTAGCATACACAGAAAACTAACAAAAGAAAAATGCACTATTTTGCAGGAGTAATAAAATGATGTAGAACCTTTTCCTCATTAAAAAAAACAACAAACAAAATGAATATTTTGTACATAAAAGGAGCAAAGCATCAAGATTACAGGATTGAAAAATAAAAAATCGCAAACATTAAATAATATGTACAAAATATATATAAATAATCACAAGTCAAAAGCAAGGAGGAGTCACTGTGGTTCAGTGAGTATAAGGCATTGGCCGAGAAATTTCAATTGGATTTTCCGACATAGTTCCCACACGTCAGTAGTGTAGGACATGGCAAGGGATAATTGGGTATAAGCCCGGAATTGAAACTACCCCCACTGCGTTTACTTTAAAGAACCCTTGACAATTGAATTATCTGACTCAATGACAGACCTTCTGATCCAATGTGCGTGTGTTAACCATTCGGCCCTCCTGGGTTCCATTTAAACAACCCTTGACAGTTGAAATATTTGATATAAGAGTAGGTTGTAGGGCAGAATCACCATATTAACACAGAAAAGTAGGATCTTAAACCCTATTTCATTTCATAAGCAAGGGAAAGTCACCTTAATGTAGGTCAAGGTTTTTTGTAATTTTGGGTATATTTGATCTACATTTGGTTTCTAGATTATGCCTATTAAATACTTTATGATTTCCGACCAAATTCTAAGTGATTAATATGTCACTTTACATTCTATATTATACATAAATTTCTGTAGAGAATTAAAATCTAATTGTGTTTGGGAAGAATATTTAACAGTAAAAACAAAAAATAAATATTCAAAAATTGGGTCAAATGCATTCTTTTCCAGAATTTTAAAATAAATTGATGCTTGGGATCTCTTGTTATCATACATCAAATAATCTTCCAGCCTAAAAAATAAAAAGTAGGCAATAAGAATACTTTCTTACTATTTATGGTTCACAATGTTTAAATAAACAATTTATTTTGCCACATCGAGACTGAGTCTCTATTTTGTTTCATCTTTGGGTAACACTTATTGTGTCTTGTCCAGTAACAGACCCAGGCAGATTATTATATTTTATTTCCATCGACAACAAATTGGATATTACCTATTAAAATCTATTTGAAAAGTAAAATATTGTCCATCAATTTTATACTGCTATTTACTGTAAAAATACACATAGGGTCTATCACAACTTGAAGAAAATCAATGGATGTGATTGTCAAAAATCAAGAATGCCAAGACTTGAATAGGAGAGTCCTAGGTATTTCCCCAAGAAGAAAAACTAGATTACCAATCAAGTGTATAGAACTAGTTGATGATTAAAAATACAAATATGTATGTTACTTACATTTTACCTGATTATCAAGCTCTGTGAGAAAAAGTTTCCATAATATGAATAGCCATTTTCAACTGTCTTGATCTTTCTGATGTAGTTAACGGAGAAAAAAAACATACTATGTATTAGTTGACTTAAATCGACTCGACAGTTAAAAGATGAAAGTTTTAATTTAATTACATTGCATTGTAATGTGTTGGTTTGCTTTGTCACAGATGAGACAAAATGAAAAAAATGAAATGGAATGGGGTTCGGCGTCCTACTGTTCAGCTCCGACTGGGCTAATGAGGTTGGGCATATGCCATACAGTGTGCTATGAGAGAAATTTTGCCGGGTACCGTGACCCTAAGGCCTACTCTTGTATCAAATTCTAACTGCCAGGGGCTATTTTACATGCACGCCAATGTGTACACGGGACCACGTTTTTTTGTTCAATCTGAACGACTAGACAGCTGTCCTTGTAAGGCCCTCCGTTCTGCATTGTCTTACTGCAAACCCGCGACCTTAAAATATGCGAACCAGTGTCTAACCCACTTGGTCACCGTAGGTCCCCACAGATGAGATAGTCATATCTACATGTATCTGGACATAAGTAAGATTCTGTCTGTGCACATACATGTACTTCACAGTTTTACTATACTAAACTGAATTTTAAATTTCAAAATATTAAAATGAAATTAAGGTTTATGTCACATCAGCTCCAACCGGGCTATATTGTGCCAAACACATTATGGTGAGATTCTAAAATACCACAACAACAATCTTTTCTATTAGAATTGAACACGCACCCTCAAAAAACAACTATGAGAAATCATAGGTGCTCAAATCACCATATCTTCAGCTCTTTTTTTCCCATATTTGGGTTTTTTGACTTATTTTATTATATGATCTTTGATTTGCTATGGCATCTAATATGGAAACTGAAAAATATAAATATGTGACATGTAATTAACTGTTTAAGATACCTTACCATATACAAACTGTGTGATATCTAAAACCATTTGAATCCCGAAGATCTTACCGAAGCCGTGAAAATCTGTTTTAATAACCCTTGTTTGTCATGTGACTGGACTGTCACAGTAATTAGAAGAGAGCCATGTGGCTTAGTGTGTAAGGCACTGGCTTGCTACCCGGGAGGTTGCAGGTTTGCTCCCAGTGTTGACCGAGAAAGCTCATTTGGATTTTTCAGCATGGATTCCCTGTCTAGTCGTCATGGTCGGGTGTTCGATCCCTGCATTGGCCGAGAAAGTTCACCCAGATTTTCCGGCGTGGTTCCCCCTTGTCAGTGATGCAGGATGGAGGGCCTGACAAGGACAGTTGTCTAGTCATTCGGATGATACGAAAAAACGAGGTCCCGTGTACACGTTGGCGTCCACGTAAAAGATCCCTTGACAGTTGGAATTGGATACACCGCAGTGCCGCTGTCAGGCAAAATTTCCCTCATAGCACACTGTGTGGTGTATGCCTGTCTTCATTAGCCCAGTTCGGAGCAAAATAGTAGGACGTTAAACCCCATTTCATTTCTAGTCGTTTCAATGGAACACAAAACCTGAGGTCCAATTGGCGTGCATTTAAGCCGATAGTATGGTAGTTGGAATTTGTTGGCTGTAGCACCCGTGTCACAGTTCGACTGCTAGTTTGTGATACCCACTCGATATAAATGAGTGGTGATTGGCTAATGCTTCGGCGAAGCGGACAGCCGGACACACCACTCAAATACAATTCGACCAAATATATTAAACATGTTTGATTCGGGCGTATGTCAGTGGATAAACTAGGTGAAGTTTAGCGCCAATTGATTCAGCCGAATCCTTTGGCTAGTTTATCCAGCACTGACGATTTAAGTTTGTACTTTCTTTATATGCAAATATCACATTTGAAAGAGGCTGTAGGCCTACTTTCTTTATATGCAAATATCTTATTTGAAATAGGCAATTATTATGTGATTCCCCATTTGAATGTGACTAGGAATAAGGTCGCCTGTCCAGCCTTGTGGGTTTTCTCCGGGTCCTCCGGTTTCCTCCCTTTGCTAAATACCCCTAGGGTGTATTCGAAACAGTGTTCCGGTGCAGAGAACGGACGGAGAAGGGGTTCTTGTCGGACTTGAGCAGTCTGGAATGCGTTCACGAACACGTTCCCGTTCTCAAATCCCACACTACCTCATAGCTGGTGTGAGGGAGAACAAACATGGTCGACGTATCGATAACTGCTGAGAAAACAGCATCATGGGTGCATTTATTAATTTAAAAGTTTAATACCGTTCGAAAATTGGATGTAGTATGTGGCCAGTATAACATCAAATAAGTTAGGTTGCCAGGCAACGAAACATGCCCACAGCAGTTTAATCGTTTGCTCAGTCAACAGGGATTGTCGCATATTCATTCTTTTGTAGGTAATGTGGGCATTTACAAGAAAAGATTATAATTTTTGTCGTTTGTGGGTTTACAAAGGTTCTACAAACTGAAACAAGGGCCTTAATTGTTGAAATTTGACAGATTTTTTTGTTTTGTGTTTTACTAATTTAAATAATGCATACAAATCGGATGATAATTTTGTTGTTCGCGCGTTCACAAGGTTCGAAAAAGTGAAACAAGGGCCACAACTCTAGACATAATTCACGGAAATCGCAGAAATTTAATAGACGTCTTCGTTTTACTAATTTAAAAGATGCAAATGAATTTCACAAAGTGAAACAAGGGCCATAACTCCAGAAGAAACTAACGGAAATTATTGAAATTAAATAGGATTCATCTCATTAAAATAAACAACATATCAATTTCAAAATAATCAGGTCTGTAGACGACGGACAAACCTACGGACGAGGGCGATGACAATATGCGACCACATTTCCATGTGGGCGTATCAAAAGGTGATGTAATCGTCATCCAAAGAATTGAAAAGGAGTAAAACGGAGTCATAATTTATCATAAGTATGCTTAATAGCGAAGTCAATACCAAACAAGTTATCGTAACAGATTGTATAAATTTAATTCATCTTGTTACCATGGATACCGTTCTCTCATGTTCGAGACTCATGAAAGTGTTTTCATGTTCTTCAGCCGTTCTCGAACCTGCGCGAACACTGTTTCTAATACACTCCTACGGTACGCGCAAGCAAATCATTCAAATAAAATTGAACAATATTAGCCTCAAAATTACCTAGCGCCAGTAAGTATAAAGGATCTATCCGACAAACACTAACAACAACTCTAGGTTTATGCAGAATTAATATAACACAACATACACAGATGGCAATAGAATGAGACAGTGTTCAGGAAAAGGGCGGAAACGGAAGAAAAAAACCCGTCCTACTTGATTCTAGGACATAAAGCATGGGCCTACTTGATTCGACCAATTTAATACAAGGAAATGAATGGCATAGTTTGTGTCAAGTGAATTTAGTGAATTTTAAACCCAATTTACTCGCCCTCTCTCTACAGAGATAAATACTTTTCCTGTTACATACAATAACAATTATTGGCCATTATTTAAAAAATATATTAAAAGGAAATGAAATTCTGTTACCTGTTTTTCTTTGTGTAGTACATGCTAACATCAATGACTGGAAAAAAAATAACGAAACTGTAGAGAAACTTCTGAATCATTGAAAGTCTAATTATTAGGCCTACACATTGATGACATTGATATAAAAAAAAAGGCTGATTTGTTTGTTGTTGTTTTTTTCTTTTACAGAAATATTAAGATTACATTTCAAATAAACAACTAACACAAAAGTTAGTATCTAGCTATAGTCCATGTCTGGATATACATTTCTCCTTTTTTTTGGCCCGAACGTCTATAAAAATCAAAGATGGCGGCCAATAATTGCAACCGGGCATTACTATAAAATCAAGACAGATTCTTACCTGCTGGTCCTAGTCGGGGGTTTCTTGCAATTATAAGTATTTGAACAACGGTGTAGCGCCGATTAGCTAATAATAATTAAGCACGATTTCAGAAAAATTAAGACAGAATCATTAGATTGCTGAATTAGCGGAACACTTTTAGAACACATCAAAAAAAATTTCTTTGTGGCGCCATTATATAAATAGAATTCCGGTGCAGTCAGTGGCAGTGGTTCTAAATCTGACTGTTTTAAACGAAACGAATTATTATATACATAGAAGCAATATATACATGCTAAATTAAATACATTTTTTGTAAAAATTTACAAACCTGCGGTCTGGTATTCTATGTGACCATTATAATTTTTTTTTTAAAAATATCACGGCTAAAGCACTCTGTTGATGCTAACGTCACTACATCTAACTGAATGTCGCTGATATAATATCAAAGAAAGAATTTGTCGCAATGACTAAAGTATAGATACTTCTTCTTAGTTAGTTGTATTTTACGTCCGCTTCCACCGAAGTGATATCGCAGACAAAAAGTATAGATAACTTGGAGAACCATTATATCAATAAGTCGATTATGAGATACACGTGGATGATCAATTAAATTTGATTGGTTACTTTTCAGTTAACCAATACTGTCCAATTTCGATTACATCAACCAATTACATTATTAAGAGTTTTACTCATTTTTTTTGTTCATTGCACATTGAATCAATTTTCGAAAACACCAGGGTGCTGAAAATCACATGTACACTATATATTCATTTGGTCTATCAGTTTATTGGGTCAATAAAAAAAGACAGACATTTTAACTATACAGACAACTTAACACCAATTAACATTCAAGTCTGTCTGGCAATTGTCTGATTAATTGGTACTCACTCCCTTCCAGTGAAGAACAGTATGTGATTTTCGAGATGTGAATTAAGCCCTTTATTACTTTTCTTAAAACTTGACGACTCCCGAATTCAGACTTTGTATGGAGTTTTTTTCTTAAAAAGAAAACAAATCGTGGAAGGTACACATTACTTGTGTTAATGATATGAAAAAACACACAAGATTTTATAAATCGACACAAGTTTGTGTTAATGCAATGCAAAACAACACATAACTTGTGTAGATTAGTTTTAACACAAGTACTTGTGTTGAGATCCAACACAAGTGTTTTTTCAGTGTATATATATATATATACCTACCTATGCACTGCGGTCGACCTCCTCTCCATGTTCCATCTTCCTGACAAACTTGTACCCTGGACATTCCACTAGCCACGCCATATCCTTCATGACAAGTATAGGTACACACACTACGATATTGGCTCCCATCCGTGCACAAAACATCACAATGTTTGTTTAGGCACCCTCTCAAAGACTCACAATTTTTCTCTAGATAATATGAAAAGAAAATATTTTGATTTGCAGTACATTCGATGGCAGTCTGATTTTAAATATACCAACATTTCGTTCCGTTATACATTTTTCAGCTGTTTGCTTTTAAAGACACACAGTTTATCGGGAGTCCAGTTTAACCTTTCGTGCAAATCTCGTGGTACAGGATATTCCGCTAAATCTTTTGAAAGGATAAACCATTAATGCTTCTTGGTAAACCCCAGGGGGGGGGGGGGACCTGCTGCCCCCACTTAGGAGTGCGACTGACACAAGGACACAGGGAATCACTACCATTTTTAAATATTTTTGTTCTCCTTTCCCGCGACAATATATGGGGCAAAAAATTGTTCGGCATCGCAAAAAATGGGGGGGGGGAGGGCCTGAACCCCATTTCTCTCAAAATAGTGTCTCAAACAGGATTGGGAAAAGGAAAAACGGTCTTTGTGCGTGTTCATGTCTTGGAATATAAAAATACTATTCAATGTTTAAATACTAAATTACTATGTTTTAAATAACTATCGATGCTTTTCGCCTATTTTTTCAAATGTAAATACGGTTGATATTATGATTATAACAATATCTTCATAAAGAATGAGTTGGAATGTATGAAAAAGACAACAATTGAATATTATTTAATTGTTACTTTATGTGTCTAAGATAAATGCAGATGGCGGTTTTAAATCAATATGAATCGATGTTTGATCTTTTAAAACACTGCATTTTACATTAATTCTGGTATGCTGGGGGCTTCAAATCATGCAAAACACGTTGGGGGTCTGTTGGGGCTTTAAATCATATAAAACACGTGATGGGGCTTTAAATCATAATAATAAAACACATATCGGGGGTTAAAACCTATAAAACACTCGTTTCAATTACTCAATTGTGTCGGAAATGCGTCAGTTGTCGAACATGCCAGATACCACATCGTATCCGATTGTAGTTAAGTGCAATACTTAAATATTTTACCCTTGACATTATTGCAAAGAGGCGGATATAATATCTTATAAGTACTTAACATTCTTGGCATAGGCTACAGACTTTCCACAATTTTAATGTAAAATCGATCAATCCCATTGATCATCTAAAATTCACAATGGAATTTATTGATTTTCCGTCGTCATCTTTTATAATGTTATAACAACCGGTTAAAGCTTGGGGCCTGTTTCGCGAAATAAAATCCAAATTTTAGTAATTTGATTGGAATAATATTAGAATGATTTTAGTGCTTAGCCAATCAAAATTGAAGTATCTACTAAAATTTGGATTTTATCTTTAGTTAAGATTTCGAGAAACAGGGCCCTGAACCGCAACTCAGTGAATGTAAGCTACAATAGGTTGTAACAAACGAAAAAAACAATGTCAGTACATTAAAAATTGTGTTGTTTTAATAGACAGATGACGAATATAACTAACTTGTCCGAAATGAATCGTCACCATTTACATATTTTATGCTTACAAGTACTAATTTGTTTTATTATTTACAGTAACTATATAATTTTTCTTAAAGTCTGGGTTCATTTTCTTAAATAACTTCAAAATAGTTTTGAATTTTCTGGATATCGCCGTATTTCATATGTGAAAGACGCGACCGAGCAAAATTTTACTGCGGACCAGTTTGCAATATTCGTTGTAGTCCAGGTATTTTCAACAAACTATCCACAGGCTGTAAGTTCAAAGGAGAGGGGGGGGGGGTCAACTCAACATATATTTAGATATGGCAGACCACTTAACATTTTCCCTTGGATTTTTTAAAATGTGAATTCTTGTTTGATTTTGTCGGATCCAACTTTTCCCAAAGTTTTTGTAGGCGTGAACGCTCTGTTTGAAAGGTGGAACTGTCTAAATCTAAAGCATGTATTTTAATAATTTGAATATATATATTAGATAATTATAAAACTAAATATCTTATATACAAATACTGTATTGATTATACAGAAATGACATAGCTATTACTAACTTTCACATTTAGGTGTAGGTTCCGACCACTGCTTTGACTGAAGACATTTATAGTGGCTGGCACCATTTAAATCATGTCCCCCGTAGCAATCAGCTTGACAGTTTGCGGCTAAAACAAAATCCTGGCTAGGATGACAAATTTGCCAACCATCTGTAATACTCTCTGGGGAAGGACATCGGATTACTGAAAAAATAAATTAACGATTATTTGTGAAGTATGTATGAAAATTAAACAACTACCGCTGTACTATGGACCCGAATTGTGACGCCATATCATAAATCGACGTCCGTCCATCGATGCTCGGTTGTCTTAGGGACATGCATTCCAAGTTTCATTTCGATCGTACAGGAATTGGCGGAGCGTAGACTCGCCCCTTAGAACAAGAACAAGATGATCCGATAAAATACCAAATATTACACCCCGCTGCCTGTTCCATAAAGTTGTTAAAGTTAATAATATTATCATTAACAATACCAAGGTAGCAATATAGTATCAGAAAAAAAAGTCGTGTAGTCCGTTTATTTCATGGTTTTGGGACATCAATTGGGATATTAACATTATTTCTTTGACCAGTCCTAGGAAAACGGTCAATGTTGTGTTCTTTAAGATTTCAAAGATTTAGATCATCGAAATGATCAAAATAAATTGTCATGGATTTAACACTGACGTCAGTGGGGCGAGAATTACTAGTCTCAATCTTGATCTCTAAAATAAAATTAAATTTCCAGATTTAATTAGGAATATGGATTTTCCGGCGTGGTTTATGCTTGCCAGTGGTGTAGGGCATGGCATTTCAAGGAACAGCGTCTAGTACATTGGCGTGCACATAAATTAATCCTCGACAGTTCATAGCACACTGTATAAGTCTAGAAAAGTGGTCATTAAACCCCATTTTTATTCATTCATTCGCGGGAAAGTGTTTTTATTACAAAATGAAAGACATATTTACCAGTATAGAGAAAGACGATCTGTTATAATAAATACTGTATTTTAAATAAAGAATAGAAAAACATTCTGCCATATAAAATTACCTATAATATTTATCATGAATTTACAAGTTGCCATGTTTCCTGCTCTGTCCCTGGCTGAGTAACCAACAGTATTCTTTCCTTCAGAAAAGATAAGTCCCGGTGCCAGACCATGCCTTTTTGGTCTGAAATAGATAACAGGTCATATTTTAAACGTGTTTACATGAAAGGAAAAAATGGATATTCTTTATCTAAAGTTGACTCACGTTATTATACCGTCTCTATCGTCAGTTGCTGTAGGCTCGGTCCAGAAAACTTTAGCATGTGTCTGGTAAGGATCCCCAAACTCAGTTATATCTCCCGGACATTTAAGATGCGGTTCACTTCCAGCTTAAATTAAAATACAAGACTGAATAACATAACAGTAAATAATACAAATTAAACACCTCCAAACTATATCTATTATAGCAATATTGCTGCTATTCCCGTAGCAACCTTTTTTAAAGTCATTACAAATCGAAGCCCCGTGTTAACATTAACGTGCACGTAAAAGAATTCTTGACAGTTGGAATTCGATATAAGAGTAGGCCGTAGTGTCGATGTACGGACAAAATTTCACTCATAGCACACTGTATGGCGTATGTCAGTCTTTATTAGCCCTTTCGGAGCAGAACAGTAGGACGTATAACCCCTTTTCATTTCATTTAAAGATATTCGGGTGATATTGAGGTAAAAGTAAAACCTAATAACCGCATACCTTGAATTTCTCGTTTACAAGGTAAGGTAAGCAACGGTTGATGGTAAGCATGGCGATAATCTTTATATATGTGTCGATGTGCAACCTATCTCTTACACGGTTGTTATTCGAGATAAAACCCGCGGTCTCCGCATTGTACACAACCAAAGAAAACCTTTTTAAATAAAGCCAGACCAATGGCCACCGACTTTCTTATAACCTCGTTTTGATTTACATGCCAGTTCTAGTATGATCACAGGCACTTGAAGGGATTAAAATAAAACTTCTTACTACTGCTTGACTATATATATATGAAATCAAGTTTCCCTTATGACCAAGTGCATTACGAATTTCCGCACTGTGAGTAAACATTAATCTTTATAATTATCCAAAACTCTAATAGAAACGCACTGTTCGTGGAATACTTACAGTTGGTTTCTGGTGGCAGACATTTATCAAAAGTGCAAGAACGTTTACGTCGTGACATTTTTTCAGTTTCATCTTGTTCGTATACTACAAAATAAAGTAGCAATACAACTTTATTCTAGTATCTCCAGACAAACATATGTATTGAATATAATAATAAGATCTATTCAAGACGCATTAGATAGTATAGCATAAAATAAAGTATATGTAAAGTGAGAAGGCATATGTTCCACGTAGACATTTTCGATTCGACATTGATTTAGTTACGTAAAAAAAATTATATCGAATTCCAACTTCCAAGAGGGTTTTTTTACGTGCACGCCGACGTGTACATGGGACCCAGATTTTTCGACCAATCCGGTGACTAGACGATGCCAATTGCAAAACCGGGATCGAACCCGGGACCTCTTAGTAAGTGAGTCAGTGCATATCTCATTGAGCATCCGTGGTTTTCATTTCTCGACCGATACTAGCATCGAACCTGCTACCCACGAGGTAGTTTCATTGATTGTATCAAGAAATTGGGGGAGCCAAGGTGGCTAAGCGAGTAAGACGCTAACTCGCTAGCCTGGAAGTCGCGGGTTCGCTCCCGGTGTTGGCCGAAAAGTTCATCGGGATTTTCCGGCGTGGTTACGCCTTGTCAGTGGTGCTGGATGGAGTGCGTGGCACGGACAGCTGTCTAGTCGTTAGGATGGAACGAAAAACCGAGGACCCGTGTACAAACTGGAGTGCTCGTAAAATATCCCTTGGCAGTTGGAATTCGATATAAGAGTAGGCCGTAGCGTATGCACACTGTATAACGTATTAGCCCAGGAGGAGCAGAACAGTAGGACGTTAAACCCCATTTCATTTCATTTTCATCAAGATACTTTGTTTAGAAAACTAGTTGGGCTGGCCTATGTTGGCGTTTGTAGTTTTAGTAATTAGCTATAGTGCTTATAGACGGAGGATATAATATGGCTTTTTTCCAAATAACATTTCGCGTGGCAAAATTAATCTCAACACTTCAAATTATCACAGGGTGTCAATTGAAAAGTAGGGGAGGATTTGAATACAAAGCATTGCAGTTAAATGGAACTGAGCATCTTGTCTTTCTTTAACGGCAGATCTTCTATCAAATATCGATACGACAATATAAACAATCTTAACATGGTTGTTCAAGCTAATAAATGTTGCAGTAGACCAGGATGTATCAAGTTGACCTAAAACAGTTACATCCCTGTTTATGCCTTTAACCAGGATTCATGAGCTATGCTCCAATGAAATTTTACAAAGTATAAACTACATGTATTTGATATTGAATTAGAGGAAATGTGCAATAGACGACAGGATGTGGACAATAATGAAAATGAATCTGTCGTATACTTTTACATCGAATTAACTTATGTACATGTACTTTGTGATTTATATCGAACAATATTTTAGATATTTTTTTTGTTTAATCAACAAGGAGTCTACGCATTGACCATTGTCTATAGACGAGTTTGGGAATTATTTTTATTGCGTTTAGAATGAGAGCAGCGATTTAGGTGTTTTGGGATTTTTTTGTATTAATCAACGCATATGGTTATAGCAATTACATTTTTGTTGCTGATGACACTTATTATTCAAGAACTCTTGTACGCTCCCTTGGACAAACGATTACTCTCCACCCTTCGCTTTTTCTTAAAAGACAATCTTACCGAGTATACAAAATAATCTAATGACAACTTGCCTCTGTATCACGTTCAAAACCAATCAAAATAAACATATTTGAATTCAATTTTTATGTGTAATTACCTGGACATTCTATGGGTGGACCTTGCCATTGACCTTCAAAACATTGCCGCCATGTTTTACCAGAATAATACGACTTACAGGTCACCATACACGTAACTCCGTGGGATACGTAAGAATTAGGGGTGTTTACGAGTTCTGGTGGACAATCGACTAAATAAATTTCTTTAACCTCTAGAGTCTGTAGAGGGCAGGGGGCGCTCTGAAAGAGAAATATAAATACGATTTTGGAAAGGTGTTCTTTTTTCTATTTTGGTAATACATACATAAGTACGATGTTTAAACCATGGTGTTGCATACAGTGACATGTTTTGCTGTGAATGGGTTGGGTGGTCGCACGGTCTAACGCGTGTTCCTTGCATAATAAGGTCTGACATATAGCCAAGTGACATGCTTTCAATCCAAAGCTTGTACATCACAAGAAGTAGGGTCGACTGCCTAACCCCGTGGGTTTTCTCCGGGTCCTCCGGTTTCCTCCTTCTGCTAAATACTATGTATCAATTATTCATATCATAAGCTGACAGATTCGATCCTATTTAATGTTTGCGGTGACAAGAAGTAGGATAGCCTGTCTAACCTCGTGGGTCTTCTCTGGGTGCTCTGGTTTCTAGTATTCATATTATAAGCTGACAGTTTACAGTTACACGCGATTCACATTAAGTTTCTTTGAAATATTAAAGGTGCGTTCACACTGAGAGTTTAATCTGAATTGAATTCAGAATAAAGTCTTATTCCCGCTTTGGGCGTCTTTAGCTGCGTTCACACTAGGGGTTTAATCTGAATTGAATTCAGAATAAAGCCTTATTCCGGACTTTGGCGTTACACTAAATTCGATAAAAACCGAATTGAATCTGAATTAATGAATCCGTATATTTTTCCGAATTCAACTCGGAACAAGATTTGATCGGACACGCCTGATTCAGATCAATTTTACCGGAAACGATAACTTTGCGCGCATGATGGGGTGTAGCCTACATAGCTGCAGCCCTTCGTCACTGAAACAAATGCTGCGTTAACATAACCAGCTAACAAAAGGTTGTCAGGCAACGAAACATACGACCTCAACAATTAAGGGTTGTGGCATACTTTTCCCTTTGTTAGTAATGCAAACATTTACAACACACTAAATTCTGATTACGAGTTCTGCCCTATACTAACATTTAATATCATGGACCATAACTCTGGCAGTAATTATCGTAAATCGTTCAAATTCAATTTGATTCTTCGTCCATGACCTTAAACACTGTGCATAAATTTAAAGTCAATCAGATATTAACATTAGCCTCTAGCGCGTCGGGCGAGGGCGACGACAATATACGACCACATTTCAAATACAAAGATAGGAGTGTTCGAATTCAGATCACAGCTGACCATTCACGGTCTAGACCTTGGGAGAAGGGCAGGTAAGCTTTAGTCGTCTCGAGTCTAGTGGAGCCTAGTCTCTAGCATGTATTGCATATGACAACAAAATGTATTGCTTTACATTATGTATGTTTAGTGCTGTAAGGATTTGAATTATGAAATGGGAGCCACGATGGTTCAGTGAGTAAGAAGCTGGCTCCCTAGTCGGGTGGTCGAGGGTTCGCTCCCGGTGTTGACCGAAAACGTTCATCGTGATTTTCTGGCGTGGTTTCCCATGTCGGTCGGTGTTGCAGGGCGGAAGGCCTGACAAGGACAGCTGTTTAGTCGTTCGGATGGGACATAAGACAGAGTTCCCGTGTACACATTGACGTGGACGTAAAAAATCCCTTGATAGTTGGAATTCGATAAAAGCGTAGGCCGTAGCGCCGCAGTCCTGGGAAAATGGTCTATGCCAGTCGGACCAGAACAGTAGGACGTTTGATCCAATTTCATAACATTTCAATTATGAAATGTATCTTCGCTAGTACAGAGTCGAGAGTGAAGTACATGTTCATACGTGTTGATGTATAGCAAACGCTACCAAAAGAGTAATCATCCTCATTCGCATTTGATTTTGGTGACAACGAAATCGTGCTCGGCGCTGCATGGCAAGGTGTCGAAGATGTAAGACCCGGCTTGCCTCAGGAAATTAAACATAAGCAACACAAGATCACCAATACAAATGTCTGGCACATACATCTTGGATATGAATGACCTTCACTGCGCATTCAGTGTGGCGCTTTTCATTCTGAATTCAATCCGAATAAACTTTAATGTGACGCACAGCTTTTAAACCGGGAAAAACCAATCCCAATTCCGAAGACCGGTCTCCGGATTTCGCATTGAATGCGCATGCAGTGTGAACGCAGCTTAACTCAATTCGATAAAATCCGAACTGAATCTGAAATAACGAATATTTTTCCGAATATTCAGAATCGGTTATTCGCAGAGTGGCGCGCTTGATTCAGATCAAAGGGGTTACCGGAAGCGAATAACTTAGCGCGCATGTTCACCTCTACTTCCGCTTTATCGCTTGGAGGGAAACGTGTGAATTTTCCTGGCCAATATTCTGCAAATAAATAAATAAATCCTCCGGGCCAATATTCTGCAAATAAATAAAAATTAATAATGCAAACACAAAATAGTTGGGGTATAGCCCTACATACCTGGAACCCTACCTCACTGATACATATACTGCCATAACGTAACCAGTTAAAAATATAAATACAAAGATATGATGTGTTCAGATCATGGCTCATCATTTAAAGCCTAGACATTAGGGGCAGGGTAGGCAGGCCAGCTCCAGACGTCTTGAGTGTAATAGAGTCTAGTCTCTAGCATGTATTGTATGTAGTTGGATGAAAATGACCACAAAATTTATTGCTTTGCATTATGTTGTTGACTGCTGAAAGGATTTTAATTATGAAATGTATCTTTGCTAGTACAGAGTCGAGAGCGAGTACATGTACATAACGCGACCAGTGGCCGGTTGCTCAAAGCTCCGTTAACTTTTAACGACTCCGTTATATTTAACGGAGAGAAAGTTTGTTGATGGAGGCCCCGTTAACTTTAACATGTCGCTAACTTGCTGTTATTTAACGGAGGTGTCAGTCGAAGTATACTCTTAGCAAAATGTCATAGATTACCAGTTTAATTTTCTATAGAACATTCTAGAGGGTTGGACGATTGGGGGAGGGGGGCTATTCCATTTTCTATAGGACGAAGTTCTATAGTAATCTACAGAATTTGGGGGCCTGTAGGAAATAACGGCCCCAAATATTCCACAGTTTCTGTAGTGCAAATCCCATAATTTTTCCTACCGGTTTATGCTAAAATTTCTAAAAGAAAAAATAAAGTATTCTATAGGGTTTTTTTTATAGTGTTTTCTGTAGTAAAATCTATGGTTATGTTTTTGTCTTTAATCAAGTTTTGTAAACAGACTGCACTCGCAGTTGTCCCACTGTCTTAAGTTTCTTGTTAATACTAACTCCTATGAAGTTATTAGACATGTACATGGAATTTAAAATTTTAAAATTCAGCCAATCAACAAAAAGTCTTTTCTTGGATTAACTTTAATCAGTCCGTTTGTTAACGGATAATGAAATTGATTTTCCAGCAACATAAATTTAACGGGCCGTTAACAAACGACACGTTAGAAAGATAACGGTACGCTAGAGTTTAACGGATCGTTAAAAAAACTTAGTTTTGAGCAACTGGCCCCAGAAGAGTAATCATCCTCATTCGCCTTTGATTCTGGTGTAGACGAAATAGTGCTCGACGCTCAATGGCAAGATGCCGAAGATGCAAAACCCGACGTCGCTGATACAGCCTTGCTCCTCGTATTCGTGATCTTCTGTTGCTAATGTTTAAAACGGGCGCGTCCGTATAGGGATTACTAGACGTTATATTAGAATGTCATAATAATTATTGTTATTTTCTCCACAGATTTACGATACACAAGCTTTAGACTAATTTATTATACGCTCAAGGTACATAACAGGTGGTGACGGACGCTCCTTGGAGCCCTCTGGGGCGAAGAAGTGAGTTTGTTGAGCGCAGCTAAGGACTTAACTCGTGGTGACGAGTAATTACGATATATAACGAGTTCGAGCCAGTGCCGAGAAGAATATTTGGAATTAATCAAGGCTGGTGTCGCAGTTTGATTCGGTAACCGCTTTGATTCCTTTCTCTTTGCATGTATCTCGATTGAAACCGCATCAGTTACGAATCTATTTTGTTCTCTATTTTCGTAAATGTAACAATTTTTGAAACGGTCGAGGATTGATTTATCGTGTTACTTCACTACGGATAGAGAGGTGTTCAACAACTGACATGGTTATAATAAGTATAAACTTTGAATTGGGTATTTTACTTATTATTAAGTTGTTTTGCGTCTATCGAGTACTGTATTATCTAGCCTATCATTTTATCTGCACAAATATCAATGTCATTTTTTGTACATGTATCCAAAATATAAGGTGCCTTAATTGCTAAACCCGCGGCACCGCGTGCGCATTGGCGGTGCATGTAATCGTCCCAATGGGTTAGTGCTAAATGCTAAGGCTAGCTCAATTTTCGTCATAGGTCACGAGATGCAAACAGGGCTAACGCTAATGCTAAATATCACGAACCAAATTTTCATCATCCGAGGTCAGTGCTTATGTGGAGACTTATCCTCTCCCCCGAATTCTTAAACCTAACCCTGGACCTATCCCCAATGCTTACGCTAACCCTAACCTACAATCACGTGTCCTAACCTTATTTACATCTCATCGACCATGACAAAATTGAGCTGGCCTTAAAAAATAGATTTAGCCGTCCCAGTGGGAATTCAAAAAGATATAAGGAAACGTAGCTACCCGGGCAAAATCCTCCTTCGTTTCGACGATACAATAGAAATAAAAAAATATCATACATTGGCTTGACATCAAACAATGTATTCCTAGTCTACAATATTTTTATAGTTATTATTTTATTTTTTAAATTATCTATATTTATTTCCTTTTTTATGATAATGGTAGGACCTGTGTTTTCATTTATCTGTCTATAATCTAATTCATGATATAGGTAGGTCATTATATAATTCAGTGTAGCAATAAAATAGTAATTAAAGTCAGTATTATGTCAGTTGTCCACTGTCTGTCATGGATTAGAAGTTTGACTGCTAATTAATAATAAAATCTAAAGAGAAGCATACATATATAAATATCTAATTGAATGAACGAGTGAAATATCGAATGAATGAGAGACGAAAAGTTAGGAAATTGTACATGTGTTAGTTATGTATTATCAGTGATGTCTATCTAGCTTAGATATATACATACCCCTGCATTGCTTGTTGCAGCGAAAGAGAGTCCTATAACACGCGTCAGTAGTATAATATACAACACAGCGCTCGCCATTTTAAATCTCTCTATATAGTTATGAATGTAGTTATGAATACTCTAAATCTGCACTTATTAATATTAAGGACGAGAATAGTAAATTCTCTGCGTCATGTCAATTTCTGACGAATCGCAAAATACATGTGCATGGAATAAGGATGTAATATTTATAGGATGACAATTCAGTATCAAACTTTTAATTTATCTGCCAGACGATAAATCAGACATAACTGCAGCAGCAGTAAATGCGCAGGTTTGTTTTTAAAACATAAATTGATCAAGAAAATTATAATTTTTTATATTTTCGAGATTAGGTGACTTGGTGAAATATATTTGTTCATATATAATAACTGTATTCCATGTTAAGTATTTGGACCAAACATTTCGGTCGTAATTCAGCAGTCTCCCCCTCTATGCGTTATTACTGGTGCAACATTTGACCAATAATTCTACGACTGAAAGCAAATTATTCTATTTTATTTCAGGAATGGCTGTGTCGGTGTATAAAGTGGCCATTTTGTTGGTTTTGCTGATTAGTCCAGTGACAGGATTGAGAAATAATAAATTTATCAAAGATATGGTAATTTAATTTTTACATATTTTTTTAACATGGCAGCTGCTTATAGACTGGCATCTCGTTATAAGCATTGGACTACAACATGAGGGGATCTTTATTTCGCTTGTACGTTGGAGCCTACATATTGTCAAGTACACGCCTCGTGTCTTAACCACGTCCCTTTTGATTTAGTGAGAAATGCCCATTTGAGTTCAAAATAAACATTATTTATAGTCCGTCGGTCCATTGGCCCGATGTCAACCATTTTGACGGATTGTTTTTTGTTTTTTTTTAAATTTCGTGTGAAAAACTATACTTTCAGGTAAAATTAAGATTTGGGGTCGAACATAAGCTAATATCGCTCGGGGTAATTTAATTATGGTAATAACAACAATAATAAACTGCACAATGGCGCTGAGTTGGTTGTCTGTCATAGAGTTTGATATCATTTTGAATTAAAGCGATGGGTCTTCAGTTTCCTTTTAAATTCTAGAATTGATCATGCCTCTTTCAAATATTGAGGAAGCTCTTTCCAAAGGAAAGATAGGTTTGAAATTTGTCAATATATCTTGATCAAAGTTAGGTTTTTCAGGCGTTGTTTCACATTAACCGTTTAACTACCTGAACTCTGTATTGTATCATTGATCATGTTAAGGCGATAATTATGTCGTATTACATAATTCACAGGATTTTGCTGGAGTTTTCGAATTAACCTCAGATGGTGGAATATAGTCATTCTGCTGTTTATTATGGCCAGTAAAATCGTTTTTAATTTGGAAGAATTTTTTAATCGATCTTATCTGTAATGTATCTGGCAATCTATCGGGAAATTGATTCGTTTTATAGCACGATTGCATAGTATCAAAAGTGATTCTTTAGTAAAACTTAATCTTTTCTTTCCAAAATTGGGTCTCAGAGTGATAGCATTGTCATTGTGATGTCTGTTTTTCTTGTAACTTTAGCCACGAACTTCTAGCTCAAAGTATTTCCATGATTTTTCCGCTGACCATTAAACCACTTGGTATCAGGTCGGCTAACAACGGAACTTTTTTTATAAATATTATTTTATTTAATTCTATGTTTGGGAAACAGGCAAAGACTAAATAATCCCTCTCCCCAAAATAGGATAAAAGAAATATGTACACTATTTATAATATAATACACAAATCTAACTACATTCAATCAATTGCATTCGCATTCAAAGTGGGTCATTATTAATAATAATAAAAACAATAATAATAATACTGAAATTTAAGGGGGGGGGGGATAAAATATAAAAATAATAATTTAAAAAAAATACTAAACCAATTAAAATCGTTTTGCAATTTCTATGTAATTATGAACTATTGAAAATATAGAGTAGTTGGTAGCACTGTTGAGTTCGGAAGATCCAGAAAGAAGTATTTTTATGTTTCTCTGTTGTGCTGGGATAGTTTCAATTGTTATCCGTCGTTCATCCAAACTAAAAAGTAATGAAAGCTGTCTTCAAATTGATGCCAATAACTACAAGAAGGATTTTGATGAATATGTCTGAGAAATTTGTGACCGTTTAAATCGCGTATATTAAGGCGGGGTTTTGAATGTTCAAAATAGTTTTTAGGTAAAGTATCAGACTTAGAGAGATATTTTTGAAATAACTAAGAGAGTGTAAATGCTTGACAGCATCGGGTAAAGAACTCCCGAGTCTGCAGAAGAAAAGAAGGAATTATACAAGAGAGAATTTCGGCAATAGAATTCAGGAATATTGTTATTACGAAGATTCTAGGAAATAGTTATCAATTGAATAAGAGCAGAGAGATAGTCTGGGGTTAATTTATATAAAATTTTGTACATCAGAATTAATTTATGTCGTCTGCGTCTTCCACGTAGGATAATGAAACCCGTTCACTATAAAGAAAGAACGGAATATTTGATTCATTTTACAGCCCCGCAGATAGTGCGGAGTTCGTCAAGGCGCGAGTGTTCAAGCTGATTGTGCAACCGTCCCATATAATATCCCCATAATCAAAATGTGTCAGTTAAGGGTATGAGAATATATTACCTTCTGCTAGGAAGAATGAAATTGAACCAGCGATCGTTTAGTGATTGGACCTGATGTTGTTGATCATCAGAAAGCTGCACATTAACGTCTATAAATATGTTCTCAAATCTAACATTGTGACGCTTCCTGTAAGTTATATCCATTCGTTTTGGTAATCCTGTACGTCAAGCTGCTGTATGGAACTGGCATTGGATTGTGGCCACTTTGATGTGTTGGGTATTGTACACGTTGCTTACATTCCAAAGATTCAAGAATTAGATTTCTTGGTTTGTGTATCCCTCGGATCCTAAAATGGGTGTTGGCGTCTACATGTATAACTGGGTTATCATAGAATAGAGAAAGATGTAATAGGAATTCGAAAAATCTCTTTTTCAAGGGTAAGTTTGGTTAATTTGTATTGAACAGTTGATGGAAATCGTTATATAAATTCAATGTTGATCTTTTTTTCTGGTCGCCTGTCCAACCTCGTGGGTTTTTCTCCGGGTGCTCCGATTTTCTCCCAATGCTAAAGACCTCTACGCGCAAGCGAATTGTTGAAATAAAAATTGAACCTTGTGTTAGTCCCGGAATGAGCTGTGAGCTGTGGGTTTTGTTGTATGAGCTGGGAGTTGTAAGGTGGTGCAGAGAATTATTGCAGTTTGGGGGAACCAGTTCGTTAATTTGATTTAAAATATAGATGTGACGTCACCCTTTGATGTTGGCGTATCATTATACGGGCAATGTGCCAAGCGTACATTATTTATACTAGTTGAAATATTGGACCCGTGTGACGCATTTCATTGAATTGCACGTGCTGGATAGTGTCTGTATTTTAAGTTGTTTGATGGTCTCGTGCAAGACATTGCGTAACATAAATATATTACCTAATGTCTCGCACTTGACCATTATACTACACCAAAGCCATGTCTCTGTAATAATAATAATATCTATGTTGTTATCAATGATATATTAATTTAAAATTAAAGATTGAAGTCACAGTTTTGGAGATGTTTTTTTCTGTGGGTTTTGACATCCTTTTAAGTGATGATTGTGAGATCTGATGAGTTGTGTTTAGAAAGAATTTAAACTTCTTTCCACCTGATTTACCCCTCTTTGTCTTCGTCTTGATAAGTATTACAAATTGCTTTCATGTTCAATGTAGTTTTAATTTTGTTTTACTGATATAACTCTATTCCATAAATATATCTCATATGTTAAACACAGGTCATAAAAAAACTAATTAATCTCTATTTTATCTGATTGAATATTATATTTCACTAAATAGTGAAAGGGGTTGATCATTCCGATTGTTTGCTATACCTGGCCAAAGGAGTCTATAAGCACTGAGGTTATCTTAGAAGGCGATTACCTTAATTCATGTCTGTTTACTTCCTAAACCTTCCGCCCCCAAAACGCAGACAGAAAAAGGAAATTCAAATACTCGTCTTCGATTGTAAACCATGGTTTATAAAAATGCAACGTTTCACCATTGCACCACCGTCTTTATCAATCAAATTATAAAGAATATGTATAAACATTTTCAACTTATTGGTATAAATGTGATTGATGCCAACTGTAATATTTATGAATATTATGGATATCATCTATATGCTGTATATAAATGTTACTGGTATGATCATTTACATTGAATATAAATGTTACCGATATTATGAGTATTTAAACATGCATTATGCAAGAGCAAAATCTGCTTATTACAAGTCTTTCTTTAGGCCTGAAATGTTATCTAAATTATCAATTAGACATTAATTAACTTATCCAGACCATAATAAACTCTCGATGTCAAGGCTAGCCTTCGATGTAGGCTGGATTAGATTCCTATATGCCGTTAACGGCCAAAGATAATTATATTAATGATTTTAGTAATGATAACCGAGACTATGCAAAAATTTCACCGGCTTCTTTCTCGGCTCATAGTGGATCAATTTGACTGAAATTTTCAGCAAATTACCTTTACACTATCTAGTTTTTAACTATTATAGCGAGAACTGCCATCTCTTTATCTTATCTCCCATAATGTATCTTTAAATTATCTGATATCTAACATTGTATTTTAAATAGATATATGACGTAATGATTAAAACACAGAAAGACCAAGGATGTCAACTGAAAGCTAACAGAACTGTAATAGAATGGTGTACAATACCAACAGGATTAAATACCACTGAATTACAAGATGATTTCGTATCATTTCCTCAAAATACAAAATGTGCTCTGAAGATGGACAACTCTTCAGTTGTATGTAAAGGTTGTTATGAAAACAGATGGTACGAAACGTCTTGTGATAATGGTAAATATACACATGTTTACTCTAACAATCCATTGAGTCCATCCCAGATCTGTTACATTCTGACGTACGAGCTGTAGCTGTCGGATTCGCTTGATGGAATACAAATTGGATCTTTGTTCAGTTAGGTCCCCCTTGTCTACGATATCACCCCTGGCGGAAGGAAGGAACGAGCGAATTAGGTCCCATACATATAATGATATTGCATGAGGTCAAAACAAAGAGTTATCTGATGTTCAGATTAGCAAAATGGTTACACTTAGTGTAAAGCGGGGCTTGTGTCGACCATACAACTGAGAGCAACTGGCTTTAACTGAAGAAGTGCAACTCAAAGCAACTAGTTCTAGTCAGTGAAAGCTTGCAGTTACCCATGTTTAACTTTCACAAACTCGTTTTAAGTAGCGGCAAATAGTTGCCGTTGGCGTGAGTGGTCTTCCAACTGGCGCCAACTCATTTCCATGGAATAACATCACCTGGTTATTCACGTTTTCTCATATAGATATTCTGTTTGAAGCTATAGAGTCATATTTGCAATTTTCTATTTACCTCTTAAAGGGTCTATAAAATATATATCCCTCATTATTTACATATTAAGATAACTTGATTGCTTGTTTGCAGACCCATATGTTCATAGACAGAAAAGATTTATCGGGTGGCTCATAGGTCTTTTGGCTTTTGTTCTCTGTTTGATTTTTTGCAGTGAAGATAGTGAAAATGGTAGGTAATGTTTTATTCATTCATATGTGTTTTCTAATTAGATCACGGTGTTCAAACAAATTGCGAATGGCATACCTGACCATATATGCCTTTGCCTATCCGTAATGCGGAAAGCGTTAAAATTAGGTTATAAAACGTTGTACATTATGTTCTCCAAGTCACCCAGTTTAAAATACGTTCAGTACTTGGAGATTAGCCGATGCTCGAAACGCTATCAATACAAAACCGCGTGATAGTTTTGTAAAAGCAGACGTTAAGCGACTAAGTCATGATGATGTCTGAACAGTTGGTTAAATTACAAAGCAGGGTAATGTAATGTAAACGTCATGAGTAGTTACTGCTTAGGAAACAACTGGTAAATAATAGGAATCTTTTAGAGAGAGAGAGAGAGAGAAATGGGGTTTAACGTCCACTCGACACAAACTAGGTCATTTCGGGACTAACATATGGTTTAATTTTATTTACATAATTCGCTTGCGCGTAGGGGTCTTTAGCAGTGGGAGGAAACCGGAGGACCCGGAGAAAACCCACGAGGTTGGACAGGCGACCCCACTCCTTGCCACGTACAACCGTGGATTCGAAACCACGCCAGTCGAATCAATGACAGGAATCTTTTAACTTAGCCATGTATGAAAATGCCATTCAGAAATCGAAAAATATTCCAATAGTGGGAGGTTATTGTCCTTTGAGTGACAATAACAAGGCGTATAATGGTCATAGTAAAGTTTGGCATATTACATTTCAATAGGCAGGATGGAGGTACAAGGACAGATTGGACGAAAAACCGAAGTCCCGTGTATACATTGGCGTCCACGTAAAAGATCCCTTGGCAGTTGGAATTCGACATAAGAATAGGCCATAGCGCCGCTGCCCGGGCAAACTTTCCCTCATAGCACACTGTATGGCGTATGTCCGTCTTCATTAGCCCAGTCCAACCTCGTGGGTTTTCTCTGGGACTTCCGGTAACATCCCACTGCTAGGGGCCCCTACGCGCAAGCGAATTATTGAAATAAAATTGAACAGTGTGTTTTTCCCAAAGGACGTTAAACCAGATTTCAGTTCATTTCAACATTTCAATATTGTAGAACGCTTCATAAGTTCCACCTTTGTAGGTTTGTATTTCAAGCACTGTTGGAGACACTTCAAGTTATTGTCTGCTATGTACACTTGGCTTATCAGCTATTTAGTGGTTGCTGTACCTCTTGCAAAAATTCTTACAACAGTATTAAAATGTTTGCTGCTCATGCGTACTCCAGGGTATTGGGTGTTATATGTAAAGCATGGCCTTGTTCGAGTACGACCCCCTTCCCTACATATACTTAACTGGGACAATGGTTTGGACTTATATAACAGAAGTTGAATAGGCCTACCCCCCTCCCCCACTCGACAAACTCACCCCAACACACCCGCACGCATACTCACATGTTTTGTATGTTATATTGACCTGTACTCTTGTAGAAGTAGTTGAACCTTATCGTCCACCAAGTATAAGCTGTACTGCACCTTCCGAAAAACGTGTCTATGCAACTAAAGGTTCCACTAGTTCAGTAGTTAAGTGGCCAAAACCAACTGGTAAAGATGGAAAAGGAAATACACTAAGGTACCTCATTCGTTCATTTTAAACAAAACTTTTCTTAATGTCCTCAAAACAAATCTACTGACATTACTACTATCGTGGTTTTGAATAAGCGCTCTCTTGGCATCTATATATTCGATATTAAAATAGCTTTCACCGTCGTATAGAGCAATGTTGTTAGATAATGAAGACTGGAAGAACAACAGCATATGCTATGTTAAATTTGTGGTTAGTGCAATCGAATCCTGGCGTGGGCCGAGAAGAACATTCAGGAACGCTGAAAGGAAAACACGAATTCTCATGTACAAATGAGCAGATGATATTCGGAGATGAATAGCAAATGATTTAATCCTCGCTTAACACAAGTAACCATAGCAATAAAAGTAAACGTTTGTTAGTCTCAAAATGATGAAAGTTAAGACATTCAACCATATCTTATTTCACATTTAATGAGAAACAATATAGGGTATACTTCAAAAGAATTACAAACAGGTAGTTTAAATAGTGATCATGAGGTCAACAGCGGAATAAAATCAAGCGATTTATATATACCGATTTCATGGTACTATCTGTTCAGTTTATCTCAAGTTTGACCGGGATCATGAAAAATACCATAGGTCGCACAACAATCATTATTTCCGTGCTCTTTCATTAAACCCAAACGGAATACATTGATGTTTCTGTTTTCTAGGCCTAAACGGACAGACGGTATTAAGGGAGATTCCGGTAAATCTTTTAAACGAGGTCATCATATGATAGCTTATACTGTTACAGACTCCCACGGATCTGAAGCTCACTGTTCATTTTCATTTGAAGTAGCTGGTGAGTATGAACTGGTCTGTTTTGTTATTAGAATTACGATATTAGCAAATTATCCACCACACCTACCCTACTACCCACAAACTTGCTAGTAGAAATTTCGACTATACTGAATAATATCCGCAGTGATGTATCGTTATATCAGTGGGCCACATCATTCCACTATTGTTGTCCTAGATAAATAACGTCCGCGAAGAGCAGATAGTTCATGCCAGAACTTGCCAAAATGCATCTTTACACCATGGCTTTATAGTCTTTTGAATCCGCACATTAAGAAACGTAGCCAACAGGCGAATACATGATATACATAATTACGGAACCAGGAACATCTGAAAGACATTAACAAATAATAATATAAATTTATGATTACAGAAATATTTTTAAAATGGTTTATGTTTATTTTGGGTTATCTATTTACTAAAAATTTGGAGACTAATATAATTTTTGTCTCACGAAAAACACCTCTTCGCAACTTTATTGTATTGCTGCGTTCTATAACCACCTACATCAGCCGTTAATCTCTCAACACCCCACCTAATCGCCCTCCTGCTGGTTTGTGGTATTTAAACAATACTTAAAGTTTAACTGATATATGACTACAACTATTGTGATTTAAACGCGGATTAGCTCCAATCATTGTTTCACTAACCATTTTTACTAATTTTATACCCCATGTTCCGTGCGCTAACAACGGACCAGTTGATGTATCGTTGGTGAGCTATTTAAACGCCCACATTTTCCCTCGTTCCCTGTCCATCTCGTGCTAAATGTGGACGTTTCTTGCATGTTACCCGCTTGTTTATTTTTTCATTATCTTTGAGTGGTTATTCAACATGGAACATGTGCCATTATGATCCAGTATGATATGAAAGCAGAATAAATATATACATGTCTTATTCAGTTCATGTGTGTCAGTCAGTAACCCGGCCAACAAATGGAAGAAAAGATTGTGATGGTGTAGAAATGATTTGGGGAAAATCCTGTACTATAAGTTGTAATTCTGGGTATGAATTACAAGGTAGCCAGCGTGTTACATGTCAAAAGAATGGAAGATATGATGCTTCGATCCCGACATGTAAAGGTATACATTGTGTTTATGTTTGTATGAAAGACTGAGTTATTGACATATTATGTGCCCAGATTTCACAAGGTATCCCTTAATAGAAATGGCTCAATGGGAAAAACAAAACCGCTGGCTCGACAACCAGGAGGACACGATTGGGTTCGCTTCCGGTGTTGACTGAGAAAATCCCTCGGGATTTTATGGTGTGGTTTCCTCATGTCAGTGATGAAGGCAGGAGGGGGGGGGGTGCTGACAAGGAACAATTTCTAGTGGTTTGAAGGCCTCTTGTACACATTGGCGTGCAGATAGGAGACCCATGACATTTGTAATTAGAAGATAGAGTAGGCCGTAGTGCCGCTGTCCGGAAAAACTTTCATTTATATCACACTGCCCGTCTTCATTAGTTCGGACGGTGCAGAAACGTAGGATGATAAACACCATTGCATTTCATCAGAAATGTTAGGTCGTGTCAGCAATAATCGAATACATACTATAGAATTTATGCAATCTATTAATACTATTTATTAACCTTCAGCTAAGAGATGTCCAGAATTAAGCGGATACAAGTGCCCCGAAGGTAGAAATTATAAAAGTGTATGTACAAGGACATGCAAAAAAGGCTACCGTGCAACTTCACCATCATATACGAAATGTACAGAGTCGGGTAAATGGACAACTCCTCTACCTGTGTGTAAAGGTAAAATTTGTGGTTTAGATATTTTCAGTTTAGATATGAAGACTGTAATTTATCGATAAACTAGAGAACACCAAGATAAAAACTTGACTATATGAAACATAATCAACCGAGGGTCCAAGTTAAAACTTGGTCTCGACAATTAAAGTGTTAATGCTCGCATGTGTGCTACAAAACCCCACGTTTCATGCGGTGTACACCTTTGTGTTTTAAGTGGACTCTATTAAATGGAACATCCTGATTTTAACAGAGTCTCAAAAATAAAAATCCGTATACGTATAAAATTTAAGCGCCATAATATAGAGGAATAGTGTATTTACCATCTATCAAAATTTAAACTCAAAATATTGAGTCGATTGGTTAGGGTGACCTGATAGGTCTATACAGTGCATAACCCAAGTGCTGTACATGTACTAGATAACAAAAGGTAAATTTCACCTACACGTTATTTTGATAAAAGTCTGGTTTCATCCAGACACTGTATAATTCAGTATAATACAGCTTGGGACAGTTTAAGTTGTTTGAAAACGAATCACGTATATTGAGTTAGTTGCTCAGTCCTAAGGGAGAGTATTTTAAGGGCTTTTAACACAAAATTAAGCAGTTTTATTCTTCAAAATATAATCGAGATGGACCCTTTAAACTGACACTTATATATAGAACATACATTAAAAAAAAGCTACCTATAAACATATAATTTTAATAATAAATATATATTTAACACTGCATACTAGACCAACCGATACCACATCTCATTTGAGAAGTTAAAACAGCCAACACAGGTTTGTTTTTCTATTCACACCACTGCACTGTAAAAAAATATCCATTTTTTTATGTGGCCGAATTCCGTAATTTAACACCTTTTTTCTGTTAATCGATGGATTTTTTGGAGAAATTGTGTTAATAGTGTGAACTATTTCTTCAAATTACGTGTTTTATGTATTTCTGTAGAATATTCAGTATTAAACAGGAAATTTCCGTGAAATTTAGGGATAAAATGTTTTATTCCCTTCTATAATGGACTTAATTCTGTTATTTTACGGAATAAACGGTGGAATGACAAGGAAGTTCCTTGAAATTTAGGGATAAAATGTTTTATTCAGTTCTGTAATGGACTTAAGTCTGTTATTTTACGGGATAAACGGTGCAACGATAAGTAATCGTATACATATATAATCATTCCTAATAATCATCATGTTATATGTTCATTTCAATTTATTTACCATAATATGAAGAATCATATTTTGTAAAGTTTGGTATATTAATTGTCATGTATATCTAATTTCCATTATTTATAAGATCTATAAAGTGTATTGTGATTCATCATACGGAAATCAGATTGTAAGTTTTTTCATAAATATATAAAAATATGTTTTAATGCTGCGTGTGTTAAGATTGTAATATCTGGTAATCAAGCACGCTTAAATCCGGATAGTACAACCGGTTGGCCAGTGTAATTCGGTTTGTCTCTATGGCAGAGTCTACCTGCGAATTGATAATACCGCAAACTTACATCTGAAAGCCTCCAATCACTGACGAGTAGCGGTTTGTGATACCTTGCTCTCGATTCTTATATTAGCAAAAGGAGGTTACGTTTAAAGATTATCTGCGTTATCACTTCGGTAGAAGCGGACGTTAAATAAAGCTATTTCACGCACGCATATAAAGTCAATGGTTAATTTAATGAAATTTTTATCACCTTCATCATCGTCAGGAAACAAAATTTACCAGGGTTTTTTTTCTGTATTTGAAAATGGAATTTCTGTTAATTGGGGGAATTTCTGTAAATTACAGGAAAAACAAATACGGATAAAATTTTCCTGGTAATTTTTGTTTCCGGAATTTTTTACGTTTTTTCACGGAAATTTTTGTTACAGTGTGGGCTGGCGAATCTGCGGCTTTTAGCCCTAAGGTTATCTTCAACCCAACAGCTTGAAATCAAGGTCCCAATCACTATTCTGATAGTTTTAAACCGGGTGTGCTTAATGTTTATAGAACATCCGATACCAATTCTTATATGTGTAGTTCACATAGCTGATAAATTGTTAACTACTTTAATTGTATTTAAACCCCTGCGCTAATGAATCTGATGGTTTCTCAAATCCAGGCCAAAAGCATCCAACTGGTAGTAAGTGCGGTATGCTTACTTTTTCTACATACATGTAGCTAACTATATTGCACTTTGTACCGAAAATAAACTCAAAATATAGGTTTATTATTCCAAAAGACAGTGTTGCATAACAAATCGGGATTATGTTGCGCCACTATCAGCAAATTATATAATATATCTATCAAACTTCCCGGGACCATACAATATTAATCTTTCATAAAATTTCGTCATTTCTCATAAAATTATCATAAAATGGAAAAATATAAAAAAAAAATATAAAATTTCACTATTTCTCATAAAATGAGACTAAAAAATATAAAATTAATTATAAATCGCTACTCCCAATAATTAATTTCTATACTAATAAATCCGGTTTTGAATAAGAAAATCATCCAGGCATTTTATGACTCCCAGTTGGCTGCTCTATTTCATGTTCAGTCAATGTTATGTGGGTATATGAACACAGGGCTCTCACATAGGGGAGGGCTGAGGGGGCATATGCCCGGGGGCGACACTTCTTCGGGCGCGGCAAATTATCTAAGTGCATACCAGAAATATTTAGAAGGGGACCATTTGAATATTTATGACTAGCCTCATGGAGGCTGAGATAGCAAATCACGGGCCTTCGCTTCCCCAAAACCTGTGTAAACCAGTTTATATTTCAGCGAATAAAGAGGGTAGAATTAGGGAGAGAGAGAAATGGGGTTTAACGTCCACTTGACACAAACTAGGTCATTTCGGGACTAAAATATGGTTTAATTTTTTTATTTCAATAATTCGCTTGCGCGTAGGGGTCTTTAGCAGTGGGAGAAAACCGGAGGACCCGGAGAAAAAACCCACGAGGTTGGACAGGCGACCCTACTCCTTGTCACATACAACCGGGGAATCGAAACCCCGCCAGTTGAATCAATGACAGGCCGTATGATACAGCGCGCGCGTGCTAACCGATCGGCCATCCAACCCCCCGGTATAATTAGGATTCTTCCAAGATAATTATGGGTTTTTTCGATCAAATAGAGATTTGAAGGGTAAATAAACATAAAATTTTACATATAAGTTGATTTAATAAATAGTTATTTACAGTGGCAGACTGGGTCTGAAAATATTGGTTGCCACCAGACAAAGGGGACCCACCCACCAATAAAATTCTATCATTTAATTTTTAAAATAAGTAAATTAAATTTTCAAAAAATGTATAAATGGAAGCAAAAAGATGTAATTAGAATTTTCATGCTAATAATTTTTTTCTAATGTTTATATATTTTTTGATAATTTATATTTTAAATATATTCCCTAATTGGGCAAGCTGACAACCTGGCCAGTCCGCCACTGATTATTTAGATAAAGTGTTAAAAGTGTGTGTAAATCTTTAAAAAGTCAATCGGATATTAACTTTAGTCTCCAGAAAGTCCACAAGATTTTTTGTACGCCCTCATTTTCATTGGGGTGTATATTATCGGCGCCCATGTCTGCCCGTCCACAATTTGTTTTTGGACACTCTACAGATCACAATTTGACGAAACTTGTAATATAGGTTTATCTCCAAAAGATCTCGTTTCTTTTCGATATTGGCATGTATGGGATCGAAACTTCATGGATTATTGTCCCTGATTGTACAAAAAATCACGCTTTGGTCTTGTGGACACTCTAGAGGTCACAATTTTTATCCGATTTAAATGGAACTTGAAATGTATGTTTATAACCCAAAGATCTCGGTTCCTTGCGATACATGCCAATATCGAAAGATATCGGACCGCAACTTTCTGGATTATGGCCCCTGATTGAACAAAAATCGTGGTTTTAGATTGTGGTCCCCTAGAGGTCATAATTTTTTTTTTATCGATTTTTTAAAAAAAAATGGTTAATAAATATCGCTTTTACACCATAATGATTGCACGGAAATGACGACACGGAAAACTCACTCAATATTTTCAAAACTTTCCACTTGTTTCTCGATATCACCAAACGGACGGTTCCAGGGACACTTATACTGTAATTATATTTTTACTCGTACATTGTTTGTTTCTTTATGTAAATACATGTATCTATATCTAATATAGGATATATAGGATATGTCTGTCCCAATCCCTATTCAGATACAAATCTGAATAAAAAATTTTGCTTATAAAACAATATTGATAAGTGAGTTCGATTTTCTTAAAAATCAGATCGACACTGCCGGATGCAATGGCCAAATAGTGTTAAAGTAATAATAAGTGAGTTCGAATTGGGCGTATAAAATTTTACTTTCTTTAATCATAAAACATCAACTGATCGCAGGCCTTGAACAAAGCAGTTACAGTATCCGCATAACACTGGCTGAACACTATTTCATAAGTTATTTACTGTCAGTGCATTTATATAAAAGAGAAATCATAATATTTGATAATGATAAAAACATAAAAAGTGATGAAATATGATAAAAACATTAGAAGGAATATAATAAAATTTGATAAAACACCATAAAAATCATAAAATTACACTAGAAGCTTTCATGAAAATATAAATATTTGACAAAAATCCGTGTACGGTCCCTAAACTTAGTAAATGCGATCGTAAATGAAATTAATGATACTATAGGTGATATAATAAGGAATGTATTAATATTAGTGATTTGATACAGAATATTAAGTCAAAATAGTGTTGAAATGTCACATGGTGATTCAGTAGGCGATTTCATGGGTTCGTGTCTAAACTGCGCCAGACACATAATCCTTGGTGATGGTAATACACCACTCGAAATGAAATGGAGGATTGTCTTTCGTTGATAGTTAACTACGTGAATCTTAAGATAAGATATCGTAGTAAAAGAATTCAACTTAAACATACATTATGCAAGAGCTAAATCTGCCTATTGTAAGTCTTTATTTAGGCTTCAGATGTTATAGAAATTATAATTTAGATCTTTATTTACACGTCAAGCTCAAAGTCACAGATGGCTTGGATACAGTTTGGATTTAAACAGTCGTTTATTTAAAATTAAATCAATAAATGGCAGACCAAGCTAACGTTTACCGGAAACTAGTGATGAAAGGCCTGCCAAGCGAGGTTACCATAGTCATCGGGCATGTTGTTTGATAATCGAGAATATGTGTCAATGAAACGATCGCCAATTCTCATAGACGGTGCAGGCACATTTGATGCCCATTTCTAGTGTAAAGTTCCAACAGTGACAATTCCGTTCAGAACAAAGAATTTGATTGAAATGTTTAACATTTTCATTTTTTATCATCTATTTTTCAATTATTATAGCACGAATGACCAACTCTTTATAAAACTCTTAACTAATGTATCTTTAAACTTTTCAAATTCACTGTGCTCTTTTAATCCCATCACTTTATTTGTGGGATATATTTTATCTCGTTTTAAGTCTTCATACCATGTCTGGGAAGGTTACTCTTTCTAGAATTCTCACTAAACAATTATACGAAAGCTGTCCTAATTATTCTCCCGTCTTAATTATTGCATATTTCTATTCAACAGATTTTGAGAAACCTGTATTTCATAACTGTCCTGTTAAAAAACTTGTCACAGTTTATGCAGACCCGGGTTTAACATCAGCAGCATTCACATATGGACCGCTATATGTAACAGATAATTCAGGAACGGTAAATCTAGAGTTAGTTCAAGGCTTACCTTCCGGGTCACGTTTTGAAGAAGGCGCTCATGTCATTGAATTTAATGCTACAGATGGTGATGGAAATATAAACCGCTGTTTCTTTACAGTATCAGTTCAAGGTAATAAAATTTGGAAATGATTAACCAATTGTTACGTAAACTCAATTAAATCTAAGATAAAAGAATTTGTCAATAAAAGCTTACATATTATACATATATAAGGTAATTTGACTTTTACTGCAAGGTTCACCTTCTGGGCTACGTTTCGAAAAAGGTGCACAGCCACAGGCGAGTGCAAATTTCCTAAATTCATAAATCATAACTGTCTTTCTACACAATCTTTTCAAATCAGAAGATATTTCAATTCGTTTTATGATCTGTATTTATCAAAAACAAAACGATATATAATAAAGTTTAAATGTTAATTAGGCTCGCTATCAAGTAATCCTAAATAAATTGTATAGCTTTCATTCACCATTTTTTTTTTTTATTATTCCCTCTTTTAGTCTTAAAGTGCGCGGTTCCTGACTACAATGATGAATATATGGACATCGAGTGTTCGACCGGGTTTTCATTAGAATCACAATGTTCCATTGGTTGTAGATATGGACTACCTTTAGTCGGACCAAACAAAATAACATGTAAAAAAGATGATTCAGATCCACCTAAAATGTCTTGGGATTTTAGCCTTGATACTCAGCCATTTTGTAAAAGTAAGTTTGGTTAATTCAGAAATCGGACTTTCCACATTTGGCGACTGCATCTTATATGCTTATGTAAAATATATATTTATTAGTTCATACACATTCAGAAATTTAATCGTGAAGAGTTGGTTCTTCTAAATCTCGACACAGTATCAGAAAAGCCTTCAACAAAACAATGCGGTCCAGTTGAATCCCAATATGGCTGTTACTGTAAAAGAAACTTAAAAGTGTATGAAGTCGGATATACCCACTTGCAGTAGGCAGTAGAATTTTGTTTATAGCAGTTATTGCTTTTTAAGATAAAAATGAATATATAAATACCGGTGGCCATATTGAAATCCAATATGGTCGCTACGGATTTTAACAGTCGGATATACTCACTAGGTACAGTAAGCATAAGAATTCTATTTCTAGCATTTTTGAGATACAAATGAATATCTAAAACGTTCAAAACATAAAAGAAATAAAATGGTGTCAACATTACTTTAATTAAATCTTTACAGAATCACCATGTAAAAGTTTAACGGCTCCGTTGAATGGTGCATTAGTCTGTGATAGCTGGTTTTCTGGTACATTTTGTAATATGATGTGTAATTCAAATTACGATATACCAAGGTCTTTGCATATTACCCGTTTCATTTGCGGAACTAACTCAGGAAAGTGGAATCCCACAGATGAAGTTCCTGATTGTACAGGTAAGATCTGTATCTTCTATTGGTATTTTTGAATATGTAGGTATATAAAGCTACGGTGGTAGGGAGTAGTGGACAGGGGGCGTGATGTATCAACACCGGAAGACATAACCAATTATATCTAAGCAAGCATTAGATTTATCTAACTTCTAAGGACGTAAAATATTACGCGAAAGTAGGTTTATATCCCACAAAAGAATTCAATACATGGAATTGAACTATCCACTATTTTTTTTTTTAACATTGATCAAATGGGCTCAGCCTTTGTATCATTCACGTACCAAATATTTATAATTGTCATCTTTAATTCACAGAAGCCAGACGACCCGGGAGAATGGTTCTTCCTTCTGAGTTTTATTATTTTGATGGAGATTGTACAACAAGCACTGACGTTATTAAGAACAATTTTATTCAAGCACTACAAAACTCAACAATATGGACACAAGCTTGTCCTGTTCCAGAGGATTGTACAGTAGAAAATGTAGTTGTCAAGTGCGGTCCCACATCTGGCCGGAAAAAAAGGGTAATAGTAATACCATACAAGTCTGTGGGACATCTGAATGTTCCCAAAACACTAGAAGTTGACACTGAACCCAATTACAACGTTTGATAATGTTCTTGCGCATATCCAATGGATTCTCTCTGTTCATATTGTATAACAAGCGTGAAGAGATAAATTCTATTGGCCATTTCTCTTCATAGGTTTTATTTACTTCTTTGCTAGTGTGATTGCTTATTATCAACTTTAAGTTATACTGAAAACTGGGTTGTATATTAAAGTAAATTTATCTATATTTCTAATGGGGTTTAGGGTTCTTTTATAATAGCTCTCCCGAATTTTTTAATAGCAAGTTGTCTAAAAACAGAAATCAACAGTTGCTAGATCAAATAATTCAAAGAACAAGAAATGTACTCTATTCCATTAAAGTGTAAGAGGGTTTCCCAAATATGTTTAGATTAATATTACTGCTATGGTGAAACCAAACTTAAACGTTATGGGAGGTACAACACTGGTATGTTTCCAAACAGGCATGATGTCTCTTTAAGCTTTGTTGATTTGTGTGGGGGTGGATGACCGAACGGTTAGCACGAGCGCGCTGTATCATAAGGCCTGTCATTGAGTCAACTTACGTGGTTTCGAATCCCCGGTTGTACGTGACAAGGAGTAGGGTCGCCTGTCCAACCTCGTGGGTTTTCTCCGGGTCCTCCGGTTTTCTCCCACTGCTAAAGACCCCTACTCGCAAGCGCATTATTGAAATAAAAAAATTCAACCATATGTTAGTCCCGACATGACCTAGTTTGTGTCGAGTTGACGTTAAACCCCATTTCTCTCTCTCTCTCTTTTTTGATGATTTGTGTTTTCTTTTTAGAATGTACAATCTCAAAGATATAAGCGAGAGGTCAACGAGTTATTGATAACTTTCAAAATTGTTATACCATTTTCTGTTGATGGGTTATCTAAAGAAAATGCCAGGGATATTAGTACAGCAAAACTTAAAAGTATTGCTGATGGGATTAAACGTGATGTTGTAAATGGTGTTTTTAGCAGTGTTGCACCAGGGTTCACAATAAGAAATGACTCTGTGAATTTTGGCTGGGAAGAATTTGAATGTCCAGAAGGACAGATTTCCAACTACGCATCAATTTCATGTCGTAAGTATTATTATTTTTATAGCAATGTTCATAATATTGATAATGCTGAGTTTCTGTTGTCGTTGGACCAAATTCTCCTCAGAAAGTTGTAAAGTGACCCCAACAGAAAATTATGAAAAAAATATATGTAATAGTGCATGCAAATTTATTTAAAACTACAAAGTTATATGATTCTAGCATTAATATTGACTGAGATATGGCCTTTTGAATCTGGGTACCCTTTCGCAAGTTTTGAAACTACAATTATATGACTCGATTTTTGTGATCTGGTTTTATTCCTTCTCGTCAGTCTATATTCTTAAAATTGTGGGTTTTGTAAGAGAATGTTATACAGATTAAGAATAGATCGTCACATTTTACAGAACAAGTGCCGTCAAATGTGCCAAGTGCCAAAAATTGATACTTATATGTAAAAAAAAAAAGAAATCATTATTTCGATGCAGTGTAGAAATTCCACTATACTATATTAGAAGTTCTTACTTATCACATTAAATATTAATTTACAAAAATTAAATATTAATGGTTATCCTAAAATTATAATTATCTTATAATTATAACCCGACAATTTTTGGTCGGCAAAATCAAAACCGTGCGATTTAGTGAAAAAAAATAGACATTGTATATACAGAAATAAGAATAATGTAGTTCGGCGTGAATTGTTTTATGCATGTGTATACCGATGGCCGTTGCATCAAAATTGGCTTCTGATTGAATTATTTTGATCAGGTGGATGCCCAACTGGAATGATGTATAACAGAACAGTTAAAGACTGTACTTTTTGCCATAAAGGAACTTATCAAGATGAAGACTTTTCTCTGTCCTGTAAATCTTGTCCTGAAAACACTTCAACTATCAATGAAGGATCTCGTAACGCAAATAATTGTTTAGGTAAGTTGTTTTATCGTATATTCGTAAAATCCACATGTAAAGAAAGAACTCAAATACGGATTGTAAAATATTTCATTTTAATCTAACATCGATATGTTATGTTGAAATTCGATATAAGAATAGGCCGTTATGCCGCTGTCCGGGCAAAATTTCCCTCATAGCACACTGTATGGCGTATGCCCGTCTTCATTAGCACAGTTCGGACCGGAACAGTAGGACGCTAAGCCTCATTTCATTTTTACTAGTAATGTGGAGTATTAGTCAACATACCAATGTTTAATAAATGATGATTTGTTATGGTTTACTCATAATTTAGGATATTAATGTCCAGTGTATATTTCATGAAGCTATGTTATGTTTTACTAGCTATTATGTTGCATGAGATACGAGTTTAATGTATATTTTATGAAGATATGTTATGTTTTACTAGCTATATGTGATATTGGTGAGAGTTCTCCGACTGGATTAACGCCATGTTCACCATGTCAAATAGGATCGTATCAAGATACAGAAAACAGTCAAACTTGTAAGAAATGTCCAACAGACACATCAAGTTCAACAAGATCAACATCTTTAACAGACTGTAAAGGTTTGTCAATTAATCCAGATATATCTAAATGAAATATGAAATCCAATTTACGATGACCCAATCTGGGATTTTATACGATGTAATTGGAGATAGTGCAATTTGTTATTTCAATGCTAGATTGTGTGTTTACATACATACCTTACCAATTGTGATGCTAATCAAGGTTCGTTTGTTACTAAATTTGACAGCGGAGATGTGGTTATAATTCCGTAATACGGGATACCCATCACAAATACAACACTAATTAAAAGAAAAATTATTTGGGGGGATATTGCCAAGTACTTCTGTTCCTCCTAATTATCATTTGTTGGCAGGAGGCAGTTTATATAATTTCTGCTCGGATAACAACGACAGGCGTAACATCAGGTTAGTCCACAAATTTAGACGTGAGGTTTTATTAAACAATTTGATCACGCCTGGGAAGCGTGAAATCATATTGCCAGAGTAGTCGTACTAGCATTAATCTATCTCTATAATATCATAAATAGGTTACCAAAGCTTGTTCAAATATATTTTATTATTTGATAATGATGTATAAATTTATTTGTTTTAGGTTTTGATGTGGTATTAACTGGACCAATAAAGTTAACCAGTAAGCCACTAGAATCTGATATGGACAATTTCACCCTTTCTGTTTGGTTCAAATACAAATCACTTAACTCTAATTTCACTATCAGTCTGATAAAGGAAGAAAGTTCTACAATTGTTGTTGACTTTGCCAATGATATCACTGTTTATATTAATAGGTAAGTTTCTGTTTTTACACCCTGTGCATAATCATTCTCTGTTAGTTATAGGTGGAAAGATGTGTAGCGCATTAGATTTACCATGAAGTGGTGGTAGGTTCGGTCGCACTATTGTGTTTAACCAACTATTAGTGAGCGCTGGTAGTATGAATGATGTATGTGCTTACACAAAAATTCGTTTCGATATTGGCGCACATCGGACAGTAGCTTCCTGGATTATAAACCCTCTAGAGGTCACAATTTTTTATTTGATGTTAAAAATCATTACGGCATGGATTCGATTTTTGTTCTCATTGACATTCCGTGCTGGAGTTATGCCCCTTGCCCTTTACGCAAAATGTGAAATATGTACAAAGTGTGTGGACCCCACTCTCCCCTCGCTGGAGGTCACATTATGTGTTGTCCTATTTACACGAAACTTTAAATATATTTTCAAGATCCAACGATCTTGAATTAATAGTGTTATGGCCTTCTATATGAAGCATTCAGACAACGACAGGGTGAACCCTACCAATTGCATCTATTGCAAAATGTAGGTGTATCTTTATTTCACTATTTTGTTGTCTTACTTTAACACAAACCTTTCCAGTTCGATTATTTAATTCCTTCTACTTATTCAAACAGTGTTGCCCTAACCTCCCTGCCAAGAAACAGTGAATGGGCTAACTTTGTGCTAACATGGTTGAACCTCAACAAAAGTTTAAAAGTGTATCTTGGTGGTCAATTAGTATCTACAAAAACAGTGTCATCTCTAGAATCAGATCTCTTGAAAAATGCTTCAATGGAGATAGAGCTAACAGAGGGAAACGGTAAGTAATCTAGACTATAAGATAAACATGATATGCATTAAGTTAGACATATATTTAAAGGTGTAGCTAGACGGTTTCCAGTTAGACCTGTAACCGAGCAGTTGCCAGTTAGATCTGTAGCCAAAAGGTTCAATTTAAATAACCAAACTTATCCATATAATCCAGAAAAGGCGGGTCCTAAAATCTGGGTAATACCATACAGTACACCAAGCAAATCATCTTGGTAGTTTTAAGATCATTAATTACTGTATTTTAAACGCGACATTTTACGTTTGGAGATAGTTATATTTACTGTTGTTATTACAATTTGGAATTTCATATTGCACATGGGTGCAGAAAAATGAAAATTACAATATGCTAATCTTAAAGTATGTTGATGGCAATACAATAAACCACATTCCATAAAGTGATGTTGAAAAGATCGCCACGGGACACTTTTAAGATTACACTAGATAATGTCTATCCACGTTTCTTGTGTAGATTCTTGCGCATGCTATCTGTAGACTAATACATTTTTTAAAATACAGAATTGACAGTCAGGCGAGTGCAGTTAATTGATATTTTATTAGATGATGCAACTATTGAAAATAGTTCTCAAACATGTGACCCGACAACATCTCAACATCTGATCTCGTTAAATAGCTTTCGACCAGATAATAAAACTAATTTAAGTATTGACATGCCTTCTACTTGTGATGGTGAGTACATAGCTATTTTTTTATATGCCAACATAGAAGTATATTGTCACCACCCCGTCCACCCGTCCGTACATCTATCGATCTGGCGTTCTTGCGTATATGTCTACAGTTCATTATGGCCTAAAATGATCATCCGATTATTTATGTCCATGTTACGAAGCCTTTTGATCTCTAAAATTACTGCCAGTGTTGTAAACCCTTGATCTCTTCAAAAGTTATCATTCAATTGAAATTTACGGCCATTAGACAAAGAGGCCTATTGATTTTCAGTGATATCTAATAATTAATGCCAGAGTTATTGCCCTTGATCCATTTAAACAATCTTGTAGATGTTCTAGATTATAAATGTATTTCTCGTGTGTGTTTAAATTTATGCTCAGTGCTTATGTTTATGAAATCTAGATTAGAGTTATTACCCTTGATCAGTGTGGACCATCTACTGGTTAAAGTTATTTTCCGATTGATTTCATACACAATGTTTATGTAATGAGGTCTGTTTCTACAATGAAATCTAGCATCTTAAAGAAATAGATGCCAATCAAATTTTAATTATTTCAGATAATGACGTAAAGGATTGTCATTCTTGATTAGTTTTTAGTGTCTTTTAAATGTTCCCAATACCTACAAGACAATAAATATACGACAGCCCGTGTGGACTGTTCTGGCGATCGGATTTTAGCGTATGTTTCGGTTTTATAAACACTATCTTATTTCATTTGAAATTGGATTGGGGAACATGTTAACCCCTTGCCATGCCCTGTGATGGTTTGTACCAACTATAACACAACAGATAATATAAACTAATTAAAGTATTGTGATGGTTTCTATAGTATAAACATATAATAATATAAACTAATTTAAGTATTGTCATGGTTTGTGATGGCTTGTACCAGCTATAACAGACACAGATAATATAAGCACATTTAAGTATTGCCATGCCTTGTGATGGTTTGTATCAACTATAATACTAATATATAATAAAAGTAATTAAGTATTGTTATAGTTTGCGATCGTTGGTACCAACACAAAGAGATAATAAAAGTAGTTTAAGTAATGTCATGCCTTGTGATAGAGTGTACCAACTATTTACAAACATAATAAAAGTATAATATTTAACTTATTACAGCTGTAGATGAATGTTTATCATCACCGTGTGGTCAACATGTTTGTATAAATGAATTATCAGGATTTAAATGTAAATGTTCTGATGGATATACTGGTGATCTATGTAATATACCACCTGATTATTGTTTATCAAATGGTTGTAATAATGGTGCTACATGTAACAGTATTTCTACCAATAAATCATTTACATGTACTTGTCCTAAAGGATACAAGGGAACACTTTGTGATGTCACTATTGGTAAGTTTATCTAAATATCCTATTTAAACTCATCTGTATCAACATATTATGATAACATACCGTTGACAAAAACTAGCTCCAAGCTCCGGTTCTATATCGGTATATTAAGATTAAAAATTCTAAAGTTGTTAATGCCGTGCTATCATCTAATTCATGTAATTTCTAAATTTAGAAAATGTGTAATCTAATGTCTTCATTTGTTCGGCGTTAATTTTAATCTGTCCATTGAGCAAATTTAGAATTTACATTTCTACTCGACAACCATTATTATGACGTCGTTTTATGTCACCCCTTTTTGGTGAGCGCAAAGTCGGAATATTGATATAAGCAATTCATGCATTCCGACTTCTGCAGTGTTCGAGGATTATGCCGAGTGTTAAAATGTAACGAAGGAACGCGATTGGCCAATTGAAATAATAAGAAAATTTGATATATCCACTCCAGTTATTTGGTTTACTTTGTTTGAAATTGAACAAGAGTGTATCTGTCCAGACATGGACTTCGTTTATTTTATTTTCGTTTGATTTCGTCAGTAATATCCTATCCATTCTACGCTTTTTTTTTATTATTATCGTGTTGTTTGTGAATCAGCTATTACTAATTACTTATGAACTATATATCTTATGGGGTATGTTTTTCTTTGTTTATCAGCCAATAATACATTCTACAGTAGATATCGCTTGTGTGATAAATTTCATAATCTACAAGGAGGTATCGCTTTACATGAATTTGATTAGTCAATCGAAAAGGAACTTCTTTTTTTATTTTCAAAGGACAGTTCATTTTTTTATTAAATCTAATTTAAGTGGTCTTGATGGAAACACTGGGTCAATATAAAGGACTTTGCAATAGTTGAATTGCTGTCAAAAAATGATGTATCACTACGCGGTAATGTAATCAGGTTCAGTAAAAGTGAAATCTATCGCAAAGAATTATATTTATTTATTTGTGCATGTCAAAAGGGATTGGGTGATAAATAAAATCTCCTCAATAAAGAGCCTCGTTCTTTTTACTTTATCAACTTGTGTTGATATTTTTTGAAATCAAAAAAGACTCGTAGGATATTCTCTATTTATCACCCAATAATACATTCTACAGTAGATATCGCCTGTGTGATATATTTCATAATCTACTGCGATATCTCCTTAGGAATTTGATTGGTCAGTTGAAAAGGAACTACTTTTTTTCAAAGAACAGTTCATTTCTTATTAAAAATAACTTTTTTTAAATTAAAAATGAACTATTGTTATTCAATTGACCTTGATGGAAACATTGGGTCAATATAAAGGACTTTGCAATGGTTGAATTGTGGTCAAAAAATGATGTATCACTACGCCGTAATGTTCAGTAAAAGTGAAATCTACAGCAAAGAATTATATTTATCTATTTGTGCATGTAAGAAGGGATTGGGTGATAAATAAAATCTCCTACTCCTCTTTTTTGATATCAAAAAAGACTGGTAGGAGATTCTCTGTTTATTACAAATGGATTTGTTATTGGATTTGCATTTTTATACTATGCAAATATTCATTGAACAAATAATGCTACAAATTCGATAGATCAAGAAGTTCACATGTTCGACTACAAATAAAAGATTACAGTAATATGACACGTAATTAAAATTTGATCACATTTCATAATTAATTTTACTCTTTGTTAACCAGTAAATGGAGGATGGGGAAATTATACAGATTGGAGTGAATGTAGTATTACGTGTGGTGGAGGTACATCATCTAGACATAGATTATGTGATAATCCTTCACCTGATGAGGATGGTGAACCATGTCAAGGTGATGATACAGAAGTTAAACCATGTAATACTGATAAATGTCCCGGTAAGTCTAAATATAGCGTGTTTTTTACTTTAAGAGTGTATATAGGGCCTGATATGATGCTATATGTGACGTATTATTACTTTATAATGTATAGCTCCTTACATGATGTTATGTGATGTGTTATTACTTCTATAATGTGTATAGATCCTGATATGATGTTATCTGTGACATGTAATTACTGCTATAATATATAGCTCCTGATATGATGTTATAATATGTGACGTGTAATTAGTTCTATAATGTATAGATCCTGATATGATGTTATATGTGACGTGTTACTACTTCTATAATGTGATATAGCACGTGATATACCACACATTCAATTAAAAGTCTTGTTATTTGTGTTTTCTAGAGTATACGATATTGATAATCATGGTACATGTATATCATTAACCTATTTTAGAATGTTCAGATATCTGTATATTATAGCTTTAGCTGTATACGTATAAATTATCCAGAGTATAAGATTACCAATCTATAAATAGTTTTATTACTAAATCTACATGTTATAAATTCTAGAGTGTAAAGCTACAGATTTATCAAGAGCTTATGGCTCCAGTGCTCGGTGTACTGGAACCAAGTCCAGACTGAATTGTAATATGATTTGCAGACCAGGAACGGTTTATAATGGAGAGGAAACCCCAAATTACACCTGTATAGATGGAGTTTGGAGTCCAGGGAGGAAATTATTGCCATGTACAGGTAGGTGTTATCGTAGTGTTGACATTTTGGTAAATGTCACAATAGACATTGTTCGGTACATACTATCATCTGTACATATTATTGCCTGTCAATATTTGTGCATACTGCTATATATTTATTGAGTTTGGAACTATTTTCCTGTTAATTTCCTAATATGCCAAACATAAGACAATACATATTTTCTTAATTAGATTCTAGTATATATTTATGGTAAAATATTACATACATTTTCATATTAAGATCTTTGTTGAGCAACCAGTATATTTAGGTTTACGATGACCGATTGTATTTTACAATAGTTAAATACAAATTAGATGTATACAAATATTAAATTGTTCATAATAATTTGTCTCTTTGCATTTTCAGAGGTGAAATCGTCTAGATCCCTCCAAATACAAACAACGGTTAACTTCCCATCTACAGCGATATGCGAAAATAGTGAGGCATTCAAAAATCAGATATCCAATAAAGTTCGTGAAGATACTTGTGGTGGAAGTAATACATGTCAATATGAAGTTCAAGTACCAGAATGTATTCCAGGAAATAGAAGAAAACGAGATGCTGAAACTGCTGTTACCATTCTATTAACCAAAGATTTGCCAGAAGGTGATCTCGGTCTGGCTGCTTATCAGGCTGATCGTACCAGTAAGTATACTATAATATTAACTCAACATATACCACAAGATGATCTCGATCTGGCAGCTTATCATACAAATGTGACCAGTAAATATACTGTTGGTGCTAATAATATTAACCACAAGGTGGTCTCTATTTAGCGGGTTATCAGACTATAACAGTGGATGCATGGAGTCCGAGGGAGCAAGAAACGATGAAATGAAATGGGGTTTAACGTCATAATGTTCTGCTCCGAACTGGGCTAATGAAGACGGGCATACGCCATACAGTGTGCTATGAGGGAAATTTTGCCCGGACAGCGGCACTACGGCCTATTCTTATATCGATTTCAAATTGTCAAGCGATCTTTTATGTGCACGCCAATGTGTACATGGGACCTCGGTTGTTCGTCCCATCCGAACGACTAAACAGCTGTTCTTGTCAGGCCCTCCGTCCTGCATCACTGATAAGATGGGACAACGCCGGAAAATCTGGATTAAATTTTCTCGGCCAATGCAGGGATCGAACACCCGACCTCCAGACTAGCGAGCCAGCGTCTTGCCCACTAAGCCACCGTGATCGCCCAGCGAGAAATCAAGAGCGAGGATTCGAGAACGTGTGCAAACAGGGCGAAAATGCGAGAACACAAGATTATTTATACCTCGACTTCTCCGTTTCTCGCTCTCGTCTCCCGCTTTCTCACTCTCTCGCTCTCGACTCCCGCTTTCTTGCAACGGGGTGAGAACGCAAATATTTCTAAAGGCGAGAAGTCGTGGTAAAAGTAATCTTATGTTTCCTGGGTAAGATCCTCATATTCTCGCCCTATTTTCTCGAATTCTAGCACATTAATATTGAATGATCTCCTATTTTGTTATATCATCAATTTTTGGGACAAGATCCTCGCATTTTCGACTCTAGCTCTAGCTCCCTGACCCTCGATATTAATATTGAATAATCTCCTTATTTTAATATATATCTTCAGTTAGTCCACAAATAATATTAATATTGAATAATCTACTAATTTTATTATACCTTCTGTTGCTCGCTAACCTGGAGGTGGGCTGTCCGATCCCTGCATTGGCCGAGAAAGTTCATCCATAATTTCTGGCGTGGTTCCCTATTGTCACTGAGTAGGACGGAGGGCCTGACAAGGACAGCTGTCTAGTCGTTCGGATGGGACGAAAAACCGAGGTCCTGTGTACACATTGGCGTGCACGTAAGAGATCCCTCGACAGTTGGAATTCGATATAAGAGTGGGCCGTAGTGCCACTGTCCGGGCAAAATTTCCCTCATAGCAGACTGTATGGCGTATGCCCGTCTTCATTAGCACAGTTCGGACCGGAACAGTAGGACGTTAAACCCCATTTCATTTATATATCTTCTTTTAGTCCACAACTAAAAACTAGACAAGATTTCATATTGAATATTGTCATATTTTGTTCTGTATTCAATTTATCCATAGTTAGAAGCTATATAATTATTGAATAATGCCATATATTGATATATATTCAGTTAGTCCACAGTTAAAAGCTACAGTAGAAGCTATAAAAATATTAGAATTATCAGGTCAGATGTTACAGAATCAAACAGAGAATTTTACAGTGACGGTAAATGATGTTGTTTATAAAGCTACATCTGTAAATGTTAATGGTAAAACAATATGTCAACCTGGATCTGTTGGACAAGCTGGTGTGTGTGGTAAATATATTTGTCTCTTTCATATCTTCTAGATTGATTCGAAACCAACAGTTGTGGGGTCACTGTACATATTTTATAAATAAATTTACAGCATGATCAAACAAGACTATATTTCGTCATTCGAGTGAATTCATTTATATGAAAAACGTCTTTTCGTATCGCCTACTCATTGTATGTTATTAGAATATAATAGATTTATAACTGAGAATGATTATACAGTACAATATTTAGAAATCGTGTTTTTGATCCTGCAATTATGGTGTGTTTTATAAACGTTTTGATATTCTTGTACAGGTGTGTGTATAGAAGGAACCTATGAAAATGGTAATCAGTGTATAGACTGTAACCATGGTTATTATCAGGATGAACGAGGAACTGTTGAATGTAAACAATGTCCTTCTGGTTGGACAACACAATTTATTGGTTCTATCGACGTATCTAGCTGTTCAGGTATGACATATTAGTTTTTATACGCCCATATCTTCATTCTGTTTGTAGACACTCTACGGGTCACAATAATTTGTGTACAACTTTGATGAAATTTACAATGTATATTTATATCCCCTACGTACAAACACTGACAAAGCATACAGTTACATATACCAAGGTTGTCAACCCTATAGAGTCCATATGTTTAAATGAAACTTGGATGTGTTCTATTTTAGTGTGCATCGGACCTTCCTGCTTTTTAAGCAAAATGTGATATATTGGATGGTCTCTGCTTTTAGCGCAGTCTGGAGTTATGCCCCCTTTTCTTGGAGGATCCTAGATGTCCTTATTAAATGTTGTCAACATCCAAGTTTTCCTTTAGCATTAGCTGCTGTTGAGCCATAGCTGCTGTTTGGGGATATTTCTGTGGCTATCTTATTCAAAGTTGGTGGGTTGCATTGGGGTCATGACACGAAGAACCCTATCGATATTCGGCCTTTTCCGACTTTCCGTTATAAAACCGAAAACCTTGTTAACGTGACAGAGCCTACAATACATTATCTGGCTGAATCCTGCTGATTTTCAGCATTGTAGACCTCCCTGATTTTCTCTTGAAAAGATTGTGAAACGATAGAGGTCAGTCAGATTTATTGGGGGTATATGGGATTCTTATCTGGTTGTTCTTGCTCTGGCGATTTTAGTTAGAATCTAGTTAGGATTTTCAAATGATTCCAATAATATTTTATCGCATTACTTTTAGTTCCACTAGACATGAATTTGACATCGGAGTCAGAAGACACCACCACTACGACAGCCAAACAGACACAAGATTCCACTACCACCACAACCAGACAGTCACAAGATGATCAGTCAGATGAAGAATTTGACAACAATCACTATACTTTGATAATAGCTGTGAGCTCGGTTGTTGTCTGTGTTGTCATAGTAACTACATTTGTGGTTATAACTTACTACGTCTGTAAAAAAAACAGGTTTGTACAGTAGAGTTTATGATTGCTTAAAGGATAAATCCCAGTTTATAATTGTTTGGTATCGAGTTAAAACACCAGGCGATGGATCGCCTCTGTAAACTAAATATTCTCGATCATTCCAGTCCTGACTACAATGAACGCAGTCTGGATCAAATAATGTTGGAAGGGGTATCGATAAAAAAATATAAACTTAAAATTGCTGCCGTGATTCTTCTCGATCAAGCCTCTGATAGTCTTGAAATGGATTAAATTAATTTTTATCCCATGAGAAAATCGTTCGAAAAATTATTGTCTGCACAAACCCTTATAACGAACACAGGCATCCGCAATACAGTGGTATATTGCCTTCTGTGAGGGGTTCTGTTACTTGTCCGCTTATATGGACCTATGTGATGGGACCTCGGTGTTTCGTCCCATCCGAACGGCTAGACGCTTGCCCATTCCAGACCCTCTGCCCTGCATCACTGATAAGGGGAACAGCGCTGGAAAATCCAGAGGAACTTTCTCGAAAGGAACATAACTACTCAACAGTTCGGTTGATTGGGTTTATATATTGTAATTGTAATATTGTTTAAAATTGTTGTGATTTCATATTCAGTCTGAACAATGACTTAAATTAATTTATTTATTTAGGACAAAGAAAAGAAGCATGGTACAGTCATCTTATTTTCCTGTTGAGAATCCGAATAAACGAGTTGAGTTATCCGACTTCCAAAGGCAATAAGAAAATGGACATTCATGACCAGGATTCTGGGCACATTTACCAATAATTGATTGAAAATTGCTATAACTGTGTAGACTATTCTTAATTTATCTAAAAGTATATTTTTTAATAAATAGGAAAGATTTTCTTTAAGGTCAGAATTTCATAAAAAAAAAAAATTATTTTGGTTATTTGTTGATAAGCGCTTGCATTTGTAACACACTGCACCGTAACCACGTCCATGGCTACCATATTTATCGACCTGTTGTCTGACAAGAAGAGTAATTTAGGTTTTTAATTTGAAAAAGATGGTCTTTTATATAGTCACGTTACTAAAGTATGCCAGTCAGCATTTTAGACCACACCTCTACTGACACTACTGAATCACTTGTTCACGCTTTCATCACCTCACTCCTTGATCACTGTAATAGTCTTTTGCATGATCCCTATCCTAGCTCTCTAACTAAATGTCTCCAATCTGTCCAAAACTCTGCTGCACGACTCATAACACGCACCCGTAAGAATGAGCACATCATCCCAATTCTCCACGATCGCCACTGGTTACCTGTGCACAGCCGCACTGAATTCAAAATTCCCACTTTCACTTCTAAATGTCTCAATCAGTTAGCACCACCTTATCTGTCTGAACTTTTAACACAGAGAGTTCCACAGAAGCGGACCCGCTCTTCAGCTGGGGTACTTGTTATTGAACCAGCACAAATGTTCCTCGAGGTGCCTTCGCTAATTTTGCCCATCGGTTATGGAACTCTTCCCCTCTTTCTATTCGCAATGCCTCCTCCCTGGACTCCTTCAAAAACACATCTTTTCCAAAAGCACTACTCCGAATGATTCACTTACACTACTATTGTTTTTATTTTTACTTTGTTTTTACGTCGTATTATACGTTTTTATGTCAATATATGTTTTTATGTCATATTATATTTTTTCATGGCATATATGAAGAGTCCAGGGGAAGAACGATCTAAGTCACATTTTTGTCTTTTCGCATAAAAGGCAAAACAGACTTTTGGATGAGAATGCTTGACGCGAACATAACAACGAGTGGGTTTAATTACAACTTCAAAATGGTGTTTAATACGAATTATAATTACCAGTACAACAACTGACTTCCACTTTTCAGTCAAATTAAGGTCAAATAAATACGATGGACTTGTATTTGTCCGGGAGGTCATTTCAGAAGGGCCCTGGATCGATGTGACACCGATCGTTTTTACCTCGAAATTGATTATTCTACAGAAAGGTTATACAATTTGCTACTAGATGGCGCTATTAACTGGGGTTCGTTTAAAAAGTGACTTAGATCGTTCTTCAAGGGGGCTCTTCATATGATTTTGTACTAGGCATTGAGATTATTTTTATGGTGTTATGATTATTATTATTATTATTATTATTATTGTTTCATTCATAACGGCACCTGTACTAATATTTGTATATTGGCTTAAAGTATCTCACACGGTATATTGTTGTGGGCTACTAATATTACTAAAATGTGCTTGACTCAACCATTGGCTTAAAAAATATTGGATTTGGCAACAAATGTATTTTACCAGGTAGTTTAATTTAATTAACTTACAATCGATGCTTGTGTATTTAGATTAGCAGTCTAATGTATTTCAATTTGGTTTTCTTTTTTGTTTCATATTTAATAAAAAAAAATTAGCATTAAGTCTGACTTTTACTTATATATCGGAAGTGGCCAATGAAAACGCCTATTTTCCAATCATCTAAAAATGTCGTCCATTTGCCATTTTATTAATAGAAATTATACTCTTTAAAAAAAAGTAGGGGATATTGTAATGCTAATACCTATATGCAGGTTGTGATATGATAAATAGTCATGGACACTTGACATGCTTTGGGAGTATGCTCACAGATGAAGAACTTATCGCCCAACAGCACCACTGAGCTGCACGTGCGACACGCAATAACGCCATACACGTGGGAGGGGTTCAATGTCAAATTTGACACTTCGAGGAAGGGTTGATGAAAACTGCCGCGTGCTGGTTTATCCTATCCATGTTTGCTTTCCTATCGGTTCTTGCATAATATTTACTGTTTAGCGTATCTTTACTTGAGTATGTTACGTTTAATTTGCAATGAGACGTCTTCAACATGATGAACGTCTACGTGCTATTGGCATGCTT